TTGTCCAAGATGCAGGAAGTGTGTGATTAGGATGCTAGTTGTCGTTAACGCTACTGTAATGGCAAAACTCCACCCTGGCCTCTGAACTTTGTGAAATAAGCCATCAATAATTAGGATGCTGAATTCATAAAGTAAGAGAGGAATAACGTTGGACCTTGGAGCTGGAGTTGTTGTCTGCAAAAGTCTGTTAAAGACAAACATATAGAGAACAGATACAAAATATGAAGAATTTTAATAGTGGAGAGAAATCCATTTTGATGTTTTGGTTCAGTAGACTTGCTCCTCTGTGGTTCTTGCATAATGCAGACGTTATGGGTGAGCAGGTGGAGATGACTGCATGATTAAAAACGAGCTGCTTTTCAATATGAGAAGTGCTTATGATATTATCAGTGGAGTGGAAAGTGAGTTAGAGTTAGTGCAACCCTTACACTAATACAGCAATTGATCTTTTGAAACTGAATAAGAATTACATTAATGTGGAAAAGTTTCCATGCCTTTCCAGAAACTGTTTATTTTACTTATCCAGGCTTATTCTTGGGTTTTAAATTCAGTAACGGAAGTGTTTCCTGTAAGATTAACAGATGGAGAATTTGGCCTTGACGAAGGACTAATTGGAGGGTTAAATTTCTCGTCATCATTTTCAGCCTGTGTCATCTGTTCCACAATGAGATCAAAAACAGCAGATGTCAGGGTTTCACGAGGGAAAACCAAGATCTCGAAGGATTCAACAGTAGCCTGATATGTGCTAGCACAGGGTGAGCTACTTTTTGTAAAACGAAAATGCCAGAGAGCTAATAACTTAAGGGGTTGCCAGTAATGAAGTAAATATAAAGCCATGGCAAGCCTTAGATGGGGTACAGTTAGATGTCTATAAAAAATAAACCATTATCCAGTAATCTGTACACAAAATTAGGCATCAAAATTATACAGTTACAATGGAAATATGCATTTAATCAATCAAATTTGAGTTATTCAGCACAATATGTGTAATTCAAAAATCTCTTGACAAGCTAGTTGGAACTGGGTAGCAGGTTTGGGGTGGGTCGGGGGTGCACAGCCAGTGCATTTCCATTCCAAAACAAGCAAAGAATGACGCATTAGACTCATTGTTCTGGGTTTGTAATACCTGAAGGTCAGAGGCACTAAAACTCCATTCGAAAGTAAAAGAATGATGAAGTGTTAGGGGTTTAAGGGTGCAACTCAACACTAAAACTGGACTAGACCATTACAAAACCAGGACTATGACAAGACCAAACCATACCTACATCAGGACTCAAACTGGTCACAAACCAAACCAAACCAAGTGTGAACGCATGCTTTGATTTCACTTAAGTGCCTCTCTTACTATGCCCTGTCAGGTGTGCAAATTATCTTTAGACAATTGAAACTGAATAAAATGTTTTATATAACTTACTGTGGTTCACTGACTCCATAAGAACACTGTATGAATAAATGTAACATTGTACAAAACTAAAGAAATGTGGAGCTAAGGAGATGTAGTCAGTGTCTCAAAGCTGGAAACTCCAGATAGACTGAAAGTATTAGTTAGTGAGGAAACAATTTATTTTCAGTGGGGGTGGAGAAACAGACTATGGTGCTCAGAGGCATTTATTCACAAATCTGAAGGTTGAGGGTTTGACACTTTGATACCAACAAGTGAATCGAACCACTATGTCCCAGGAAAAGACTCATCTGTTGCTGGGTGACATTTTGAATAAGACCATTCATAAAATAGAATAATTTGTTTTGAAGCACAGGAAATGTTGTATTTACATCCTCTGACCAAAAAAAAAAAAAAAACATAAGTCACATATCTTCACTAGCACACTATTTCAGTCTTGATCAGTGTTTTTGGTCCTGGTGTCTTGTGGGGGATGCTGGGCCCCTAATGATTCAGACAGAAGCCTGTCGCTGCATAGTTTGACTGGTAGACTCATTAACACAGGGACCAGAGCTACCCCCAAAACTGCAGCATCTAATCACTGTCCTGGACTGATCTGGACACAACAGTGCAGGGAGTATGGGAACATCCCTGTGCTGGAAGGAAAGTATATAGTATATACAGGCCCACCTTTAACTTAAAGACAGCACTTCCTCATAATAGTATTTCACTTTAACAAGCAGTAGATTTTCAACCAAAGGTTTTTATTGTTGAAAATGGTTAGGCAACATTTAACCACACATGTATGGCCCAGAGTCTGAATTTCTGACATTTTCTGAGCACTCAAGCAAGCCTCAAACAGGGTTAATCAAACATGCATGAATTACTTGAAATATAGCTCAGAGTAAACCATTGGTGAATGAGGGAACACTATAATTAAAAGCTCATGAAAGTAAATTTTACATAATATATCCCTTTTGTCTCAGTATGTTAAAAAAAAGAATGAAAGTTAGTTTTGTACATTTATGTAATAGCACTACTTAGTTGTTCAAACATTTTCTCTGGACAAAGATAAAGTTATCTATGTTTTCCCAAACCTGATGTCTCCATGTTCCACTGTGTTCTCCTGTATTCCCCTGTGTTCTCCCATGTTCCACTGTATTCTCCTATATTCCCCTGTACTCTCCTGTGTTCTCTTGTATTATCCTATGTTCTCAGAAGCCCGGGCTCATTGTAGCCTGAGTGTGCAGAGTGATTTAGTGCAGCACAAGGCGCGCCTGACAGTGTCACACTGTTGATTAAACCGCACTTTGTTTGCTTCAAAGCCCGCATCATTTAATTTATAGCATGTGTCAAAAGTCCTATGGAGAGAGTGAGACTAGGGCTTAGTGACAGTGAAAGGAGAAAAACATGCACACCTCTGGGTAGCGATTAAATATTTATACTGCACGTAAAATCAGATATGGAATCAAATTAAATCAGCTGCCTGTTATTTTGTAGTACATGTGGGTTTTTTTTATTCTATACATAATGCAAAGATAGAGGTTTATAGAGGCTCATAAATAGTTCACGTTAGGTATAAACTTTCACATAGGTGAAATTTATAAGACATTATTGTCTTATAATGAAAGCAATATAGATGAAAAAGTATAGATTTAAAAATATATATTCTGCAAGACTGCAAGACTGTCATTGTTTACCTCTGGGTATGGTGCATGTCTCCTGGGACCAGCTACAATATAACAGTGAGCACTGGAGGAGCGTTTTTATTATGATCTCATAAAACAACAGTTTGGGGCAAGAAAACATCATTTAGCGTCAGTCTGACCGTCTGGATGCTTCAGCAAGTGACAGAAATGTGTGTCAAGGATTTCTGTACTACTACTAGGTTTTATAGACAATATTGCAAATGTTCTTCATAACAATCTGAGCACTCAGGTAAAAAATAAAAAAGTGTATAAAGCATCAGAAAGCCTCATACTGAATATACTGAACTTGAATTTATTATAATATATATATATATATTATAATATTATACCATGTTTGCTTTTGAAGGTAACTCTGTTTGGTAGAAATGTAAACATAGTGGTAAAATTATGTTATCTGTAATAATAAAGTTCAAAATTTACTATAAATTCAAAATACTAATAAAATTATCTCTACCAAGTTCAATAGAAATCAATCAGATGCTCCTTAAAATGAAAAAGACATGCACAAGAATGATAATTCTCTATTCGGATGTAAAAAAGATTGGATATATACATAAATAATAACAATATTACCAAATATTTCAATAACTCCATGAGGATCAAGATCATGATGTAGTAAAAATCTAAACTGACTTATTCATCCTATTTTGGGGGACTAAAAAATAAACACAAGGAGACTGAAGTCTGTAGACAGCTGACCTGGGGACCCAGCCACAGCTGCCTTGCTAAGAGGGAGGAGTGCTGCCCACTCTGACACAGTACAACAGATTATATTCAAATGTATTTATGGAAATGTAAAAGTAATGATTTAATATTTGAAATATAACAATGTCCTCTGATTGAATAGAGCCACATTGATATGATAAGTATCCTATAGGTCCCCTGTGCAGCCAGCCTCATGATCAGGACAAATGCCAGTTCCACTCAATCAGCATCGATTGTGGGCATGAGGCCGGCGATTTATTAAGCCCCGCGTTTGTAACACAGACCCCCGACTGCCCTCTTTTTCATACCACACCATCTAATAACCATTAGGTGTACAATAAGAGTGATAAATTCAGTCGATAATAGTGCAATCAAAGGACAATGTGGCACGGAGCCGGGAAGGAGAGAGAGGGGAGGGGGCTGAGAGGGGTATAAAAGACAGAGGAGGGCTGAAAACCAGAAACAAGAGAGTTGGAGGAGGAGAGGCATGTGAGGACTTCAGGGAGGTTAAAGGAGTTTCCAAAAAGTTATTTGAAGGTAGAAGCAAGAAAAGTTCACTACTGGACGGTAAGGAAACACACGTCCAGCATTTCAGTACCTGCATTAGAAATACACTGTTTATAATAAGCTAATTACATTGAAGTAATGAGGTTTCAGTTAAAGAAATGATTAGTGCTTATGACAAGGTCTCTAACTTGATTGTCACTCAAGGTACTGCCATTGTCTCAGCTGTAGTTCTACCTGCATGTTTAACTCAGCGGTGAGTAAAAATTGGTAAAGCCAACAGCCTACAAGAGAGCAGTCTGCATGTGGGGGTGGACTGGAGTCAGTTTTTGTCAGTGCTTGTAGAAATGTTGAGTGTTCCCCAGATACATGCTGATGGCTAACACAGATGTGTAATATGAGTGGGAGCTCCGTCTGTCAATGCTTTCCCTTTCTGACCTGAACACAGAAATTAAGGAGTTTTTACACTTTAAGCTAACAAATCAAAGCCAATTTCTATCTGCATTTAAAGTGTGATAAAACTGTCTTCATACTACAACTGCCAGATGGTTTAAAGAGATTATTTGGCCATTTGTAAGCTTGTAAAAACAAAAACGAGTGTTTTGTAAACTGTTTTAGGTTCGCCTTTCAAAGACTGGGGCATTATCTCCTGTGGAGTTACGCCCAGAAGCGGAAGTCAAAGTTCAAGTAGCGGTGGGGTGCAATAATGGCAGTGAGATCTCTTCTTCTCATCCTGGGACTCACTGCAGCCGCTGTTATTGAGGCTCAGGGTAAGTGGTTCTTATTTTTATGAAACAAGTATGCCAGTATACTCATCTGCTTATGTTCATGAACATCAGTGTTTGGAATTTTAATTGAATTTTAGGACCATGGCAAACAGACAACAGAGAGCTCAACCCATCATTATTCCACGTTGATGGTATATACTTATTTATATATAATGTAATTATATATAATAATTTTGAATTGTCATACAACAAAATGTGTCTTTTGTCTCCAGACAACTATGAGTGGACTTCCTGGTTCAATGTGGACCATCCAGGGGGTCGTGGAGACTATGAGCAGCTGGAGGCCATTCGTTTTTATTATAAAACCCGAGTGTGCGCTGTCCCGCGAGCACTGGAGGCCCGAACCACTGACTGGATCCCAGCAAGAGAGACTGGGGAGAAGGTCCACGCCGACCCCACTGTGGGCTTCTGGTGCCTCAATGAAGAGCAGGGGCAAGAGCGCAACTGCTCCAACTACGCTGTGCGCTTCCTCTGTCCAAAAGGTGGGATCATGACTCTCACTGAACCAAACTTTCAGATAGTGTAAGCTTTTGGTCAGTCATCACTACACTTATGAATTTATTAGTTGCTCCTTTGTGTGTTTTTAAGGAGACAGATAGATTGAAGTGATGTTAAACATGAGCTTCGGTAATGACAAGTTGTCATGTATGCAGGTTTTTCCACAGGCAGTGTTGATGTGGAGGGCACCTGGGGTCCCTGGTCAGACTGGAGTGAATGCCCTGCTCTCTGTGGGCAGATTGGGATGCAGCTCCGCTATAGAAAGTGTCAGAGCAACTCTGTGCCATGCATTGGGTCTAAAGTTGAGGGTAAAGAGTGCCATGGGCCTAAATGTCCCAAGAAAGGTGAGCTGGATCATGCAACTTCTACAACCTACGTAGTTTGTGTATAAATTAACTTGTATCTCATCTTTCAGCAGAGTGCAGGCTGAAGTGTGTGATGGGCAGAGTGAACGTTGACTGTGATGCCTGTATGTGTGAGGACCACATGGTGCTGGGCTCAGTGCGTGGGGCAGGGGGCCTGGCAGCAGAGGGTGCTGTGATCCTGCGCTCTGGTAAACTTCTGACAGTCAGTGATCACAATGGACACTTCAGAATCCCAGGCCTCTGTCCAGATGGTAACACCACAGTGACTGTGAGGTTGCAGGGGCATGCCTCCCAAAGTGTGATAGTCCCACAGAGCACTGCCCGCACCTCTGTGCTCAGTGTGCAGCTGCACCGCACAGGTCAGATATACATGAAACTTCATAGCCTATAGTACAGCTACTACAGCACCATAACAGGAGAGGATCTCTGTCCTCATGGGTCATGGAGGTATCATATGTTTTCTTTTCAGAGAAACTTCATGTATCAAGCAACCCTGAAAGCAAGATCAGAAGGGAAGGACAAACAGCTGCATTCTGCTGCAAAGTGGCAGGAACCCCTCTTCCAGACACGTACCAGTGGTAAGATCTCAACACAATTATCATTAACAAATAAACATATAAAGCACTCAATTAAATTAATCTTAGTTTATCACAGGAGAGTAAAGGCATTTTAATTTATAATGAACTTGACAGGTTTCACAACAACAGCCTCCTTGAGAGACAGTCACAAAGCACACTGGTTCTGAAGAATCTTCAGCCTGAGCAGGCAGGCGAGTACTACTGCAGAGCAAGTGGACCATCAGGAGCCATCAAGACCAAGCCAGCCACACTCAAAATCCTTGGTATCTGATTACAATATAATTTAGTTTTATGAAAACGAACATTTTTTTTTTACAATTTTATCTAAATTAATTTCCTGATATTTTCTCAGGCAACAAAGAAGAGTCATGCAATCCCACACCTGAACCAAATCTTATCCGGCTTCCCTATGACTGCTTCCAAAACAGCACCAACTCCCTCTACTATGACGTGGGCAGGTGTCCTCCCAGAACATGCTCTGGGCAGCTGGATAGTGGCATCAGATGCAAAGACAAAGTTTCTTATTGCTGTGGAGTGGCCAGGATGGAGGAGAAGCACCTGCAGTGCCAGGGCTATGAGCTCCCAACTATGGTGGTGACCCAGTGTGGCTGTGAGAAATGTGTGGAGACCAAGGCAACCGTGTATGGCAGGGCAGTTGCAGTGGACAATGGTGAGCCAATGAGATTTGGACATATTTTTATGAATGGAGTTCGTATCAGTCGCACAGGCTACAAGGGCACCTTCTCAGTCCAAGTTCCTCCAGACACAGAGAGACTAGTTTTAACCTTTGTGGACAACATGCAGAAATTTATAAACACTACTAAAGTCCTTCCGTTCAACTCAAAGGGAGGAGCTGTTTACCATGAAATAAAGCTGATAAGAAAGAAAGCCCCTGTGACTATTAGTTCAACAGAAACAAACACACTTGAGCTGGGGGAAGTGGAAGGACAAGAAGCCATGGTACAACTCCAGATTCCTCCCCATTCATTTTACACAGAAAGTGGAGAGGTCTACACTGGCAATGTCAATGCTAGCGTTACATTCCTCGACCCCAGAGATGTGTCCACAGCTGCAGCGGCTCAAAGTGATTTAAACTTTGTTGGTGAAGAAGGTGACACTCTTCCTCTAAGAACGTATGGGATGTTTTCAGTGGATTTTCGCAGTGGGGACAAAAATGAACCCCTAAACGCAGGTGAAGTTAAGGTGTTTTTGGATTCCGCGCAGGTGACCATGTCTGACCATCTTGACAACATGAAGTTGTGGTCGCTGAATCCTGAAACTGGACTGTGGGAGGAAGAGGGAAGATTGCAGATGGAGAAAAAGAAGAGAGGAAAACGTGAGGAGAGGACTTTTCTGATTGGAAACATGGAGATCAGAGAGAGAAGACTGTTTAACCTGGATGTCCCGGAGAATCGAAGATGTTATGTCAAAGTCCGAGCTTTCCGTAGTGAGCGCTTTATGCCCAGTGAGCAGGTTGAAGGGGTGGTGGTTAGCCTTATAAACATGGAGCCTACAGCTGGTTTCTCTACAAATCCAAGAGCATGGGGAAGATTTGATAGTGTTATCACGGGCCCGAATGGTGCGTGTCTTCCTGCCTTTTGCGATGAACAGATAGCAGATGCCTACACCGCCTTTGTTATGGCCAATCTTGGTGGAGAGGAACTGGAAGCTGTCCCGTCTAGCCCCAAACTTAACCCCAACCTCATAGGTGTACCCCAGCCCTTCTTAGGTAAACTCAACTACAGGCGCACAGACCATGATGATAACAGACTGAAGAAGACTGCATTTAGCATCAATGTGGCAAAACCCGGTTCAAATGCAGCGGAGGAGGGAAATGGTCCCATCTATGCTTTTGAGGGGTTAAAAGAGTGTGAAGAGGCCCCTTTTAGTGCAGCTCACTTTCGCTTCTCAAGAGTAGAGGGGGACAGATATGATTATAACACTGTACCATTCAATGAAGATGATCCAATGAGCTGGACGGAGGACTACCTGAGCTGGTGGCCAAAGCCGATGGAGTACAGAGCATGCTACATTAAAGTCAAGCTGAATGGTCCACATGAGCTCAATGTAAGGTCAAGAAATATGGGCGGGACTCACCCAAAGACAGTGGGTCAGTTGTATGGCCTTCGGGACACTCGTAGTATAAGAGATATGGATCATTCCACTGTTTCGGCTGTGTGCGTAGAGTTCAAATGCAGTGGTATGTTGTATGATCAAGAGCGTGTAGACAGGACCCTGGTAAAGATCATCCCACAAGGCAGCTGCAAAAGAGATCATGTCAACACAATGCTTCAGGAGTACTTGGTCAACCACCTGCCTTTAGCGGTCAATAATGATACCAATGAATTCACTATGCTAGCCCCACTGGACCCTCTTGGTCACAACTACGGGATCTACACAGTAACAGACCAGGACCCCCGCACGGCCAAAGAGATCGCCCTGGGACGCTGCTTTGATGGCACTTCAGATGGTACTTCACGTGTAATGAAAAGTAATGAGGGTGTAGCATTGACATTCACGTGCGGAGACAAGGAAGTGGGTCGCCAAAGTGTTTTCCAGACAGTTCAAAATGCCCAGGCTCAGGCAGCGACCAGTGTGGTGAGGGGGGAGAGCAAGGGGGGCCGGAGGAGACAGAGGGGCTCCAATGCACCACGAAACAGCCGCAGACGCAGTACCAGAGATCCTGCAGGGAGGCGTAAACAGTGAATGATTATAGAGAACTAAAATGTACTGCGATTTGTAATTGATGAAAAGTATTTTTCATAACTAAAAGCTTTAACTGTTTCTAGTCAGTTTCAGATTATCATGTATTTTTTGCAGATTTGTAAACTTTTAAGTGTTCTGTGGTAAATGTGTACTTGAAATTGTAAATAGTGTATTTATTAGACATGCTGTGAACACCTGTAACCATTGAAAGTCCCAATATTTGATTTGTTAGTAATGAGGAACTCACAACTGCTCCTTTTGATCAGTGATTTATTAAATTAGATGCTTATAAAACACTGCAGATGCTGTATTTTCCACATTGTATTCATCCTATTGTCTGTTTAAACATTGACACTTTGTCCATTGCTAGAAAAAAGGAAAATGCCCCTTTTCAACTAACTGTAGCCCAAATGAAGCCATGTTGGTGTGAAGCCCATAAGTCCTCACATTTCTTCTTACTTGATACAAGCCTACCGAAGCAATTAGAAGACCAGTTTTAGCAAGTTAAATCTACTTGCCTGATCTTTTTTTTGCATTAGTATAAATCAAATTAGTAAATGTTTATTATGCACAAATAAGACCTATAAGCGCGCCAATTTCCACAATATTCCAGAGGTGTATCAAGAGAATGGCTGTGAGGTGCTGAAGTTTTTTAAAATGATACTTTGTTGTATGTCCCTTTCCAAACAAATGTCGTTCTTTTAAAGTATTATAAGTTAATTTTGCCTGTAGTGCAACCTGCCCAGAGATGAACTGTGCACAGATAAGCTCTTCATTTGGCAAAAGTTATAGATACTATATACTTTCCCTCCACAGTATGGTCAGACTTTTCAGACCTATAAAATATACACGACATTCTGGTATAGGATTTGCATAGAACCTTTGTTTCTATGTCTCTACACTAACTGCAATACTGGGTCTGTCATTTTATCATCAGGAGCAACAATTAACATAAAGAGCCCCGAGAAATATCAAACGACAGCAGTTTTCAAAATGCTTTCTTCTCTGAAGCTGGGTCACCCAACAGAAACTACATGATTATAAGATGTTAGAGCCAAGGCTGAATGAGAACAGAGAAAAGGCAATTCAATATGTATGAACGTAAAATAGTGAAAACTGGCTGCTCCCTGGTATAGTCCCTCTGGTCTCTGAAGCAAACTTAAGGGGAGCAACACATAGTTCAGATTTTTTCCAGGATGGCACTGGACAGCATGAGAAGGTACAGCTGCGTTTCCGAGGGTTGAGAGGGAGAGGGAAGCGGCGGAGGAGCCAGTGTCACATGAAGTCGTCATAGTCTTCTTCAAAACCTCCATAATCGAGGTCATCTTTCATCTTTGCTTTGAAGCCTCCACCTCCTGCGACTACACCCTTCTTCTTCTTCTTTCCTTTGTTTTGCTTTAAACACAATAAAGAATATAAGACATATCCAAGTGCATGTAACTGAAGCTCATGTCATCAACTTGATAAATGGCTCCCCCTACTGAGCATTAGGGAAAATATTTTTGGAAAGGAATTGAAACTCACCTTTTCTTGTTTCTGTTTCTCACTAAGTAGAGCTGACAGGGAATTACTGACTTTTTTCAAATCTTCTACTTCCACTGCAAAAGCCAAAGTCACATTAGTAAAGAAAAGATCCACTTTCAATATAACCAAGTTACATGCACATGATTTACTATACTCACATGAAATACAGAGTTCCCGAAACAATGAATCCAAGAAACTTGAATAATGTACTGATTTTTCAAATTGGGTTATTTTATCTTTCAACAGTTTTTCAAACTCTGTAAAGTCTTCTCTGGAAGATGGACACATGGCATCAATGCCAGTGACACTGTTACTAGTAGTGGTAGTAGTAGTAATACCTGCAAAACAAAAGGGAAAAATCATTCTTGAACACTTTATAGACAGTAATGCATGTAAATCATCAATACAAAAAAGAAGTTTATTAAAAAAATACTGTGTAAATAGTTGAGCCCGCATTAGTGACTCATAAATTACCAAAAGCATCTTTCGCAAGCTCCATATCGGATTCTTCCTGTAGCTTCTTCACTCTCAACTTCTCTGCTATCAATTCCTCAGGGGTAAGCTCTGCTTCCTAGAGGAATATAGTACTGTTTTAAAAACGTTCAGACATTGGGTGAATACAATTATAAAAGCATTTCATAATTACATTTTGACGCATGTCTTCTTGTTCCTGTTGCTTTTTCCTTAACCTGTTTTCTTTCTCTTTGATTTTCTCGCTCAGCTTCTTTTTTTCTGAAACCTTTGGTTCTATAAAATAAAACATTGAAAACAGACTCAATAAAATATGTAAACAGCATTCATTTTAAATGGGTAATATTTCTTACCAGTTTTCTTAACCTCTACTTTTTTCTCCTCTTCTTCATCTTCATCATCCCAATTGTCCTGCAAAAAAATTTAAAATAGTGTTGGTAATAGTATTGGTCAACATGTAAATGTACTGATTTAGATGATGTCTGAATAAAGAACATCGAAACTGCATACAGACAACATGTATCCTACTTTAATCTGACTTTTTTTTTTTTAACATACTAAAGCATCAGCATGCAGTAAGAGGAATCCATTACAAATGACAATCATATCACAACATTAGAAAAAACGGTATGGCAGTAAATGTTCTTCATGTTTCTCAAAGGCTAAAATTAGCTTTAAATTTGATGAGGTAAATTGATAGTTCAAGTGGAAGAGTAACAAAGCTGTCAAGAGATATTTAGCATAGTTATTAGCAATTACATAGTTATAAACATTACGACACAAGTGTTGCATTTAAAACACTGGCGTCTTTAGATACTGTACCATATGTCAGAGACCAGAACAATTGAAGGGGCCTCTCCCAGCACATTCCCTGAGTGAATATTTTGAGGCTCTGGACAAATCCAGAGACAACAGCCAGGTAAACATGGATAATAACATAGAATGGAGGAATGACACAACACTGCCAACGCTCTCAAGTGGAATCTCCCAGGCCTGGCTCATCGGAGTTGAGTCATCATCTCATATGATTTCATCTTTGTGTTGCTAAAGTTGGTAGCAACTTAAGCTAACGCTGTCTCGTGTTACTCGAGCTGAGAGGATTCAGGGCAAACCTTAATCCTCTATTATTATACAATGTTAAGAAGATGAAACTTAAGACACATGCCGAGTACTACAAACAATGACCAATCTAACAATCTGCTGATAAACCGCTGAATATCAACACTTATTGAGTAAAGTGACTGCCATTCTCATTCCTGTTGGTTAGCTTACACAGCCTGGCAAGACGTGACACTTCCAGTTGGTTTGCTAAAATAGTTTTGTCCCTGCGTCAAAGTAAAGTCGGAGAGGAGAGAGTGGCTGACAGGGGCCGACTTTGAGCCGTTTAGCGTTACACTTAGCTCGGCTAACACTCCTGCTGCTGCTGCTGCTGCTGCACGATGTGCCACATGAATTAGCCGCCTGCTAACGGGGAGCTAACACACACTGTCAGACAGGAAACCGACAAAGCCCCATCTGCGTGTTTCTCACAGACGATCCGACAGCACAAGAGCACCACAACAACATCAACTCATCAAAGCAGAAGTTTTAATTCACCTTAACATCTTCATCTTCGTCCTCGCCTTCCCATTTGTCCAGCGCTGGCGCCTTTTTAATCGGCTCCTCCGGCTCGAAGCTGTCAGCGTCTGAAAAATCGACAACATTAAATTTGTTAGACCAATCCACATCTAACGAAGGAGAGCGACAATGCTACACTCTTGAGTTTGTCTAACAGGAAGAGTACTTATGGACGGGATAGCTTTAGAGCTGCTATCCTTCCTAAGTTAGTTTCTCACCCCAGTCCGCCATGTTGCCTGTGTAGTGTTTGACAGGCTCACGGTGAAGTCAGCAGCTCCGCACTCCCACCTCCCGCACGTCACACGCGCCTCTATCCTCAGGCCGTCCTCAATTTGCCCTAAACTGCCTACATCTCATGTAGATCATGGAAATAAATGGTCTTATGTTTCACATCAACTCAAACCATTGATTTTTATTAACTCAAAAGAACAAAAGTGTATTTTACTTTTAAATACAAATGGAGGCAGACTACTATGATTGTTTTTTAATTAATAATGAATCTAGTAAAAATTAACAAATACTATCACTTATAAATGTTATTAGAGACTATTGCCATTGCCAATAAAGTATTAGTAAGGGAGGCATATTCTGCTGCTACTACCTCTATTACTATATCATACTAGACCTACAGTGCTCTGTTGTGCTATGTTATTTATTTATTTATTTATTTTATTGACACAGTAAGTGGAAATGGACTGCAGAGAGTGTGCTACTTTTATTGAGTCTGATCATTGTCAAACATGTCCGCACAACAATACAAAAAACGTACTACAACAGTTTCTTCTTAACAAAATAGGCCTATGCTACTTGAGTAGACTCTAATTTTGTCAAGATAACAGTATTGTGCAGATATTTAAATACATAAATATATAAATACTGTCTCTAAACATTCATAATTAAGTCTTTGGTTTATTCAGTGCTGAAAAAATACATTTAATAAATTACTGTACATAGTAATCTTGAAGTGCTGTGTACAAATAGATATTATATTGCACAAATGAAACACAGGTGGGTGTGTTTGTAATGAAGCAGAGTTGAGTGGGGTCATGTCCAAGCATAGATAAGGTCATGATGGGACAACCAGCAGCATCAGCAATCCCAATAACAGACACACGGGACAGTGGCTCAGTGACAGCCCCAACGACCTCCCTGTGGACACAGAAACACAAATGGACAAATCAAAACAAATTAGAACAAATCACAACAAAAGAAAGCAACATAATATTCATGATTTGAAATGATTAGGAAAGAAAAATTAATCAAATAACAATGGAAACATATAAAATTCTTTTCATCAGTGTATAACCATGTCTTTAAAAACTCAACCTACTTAAAGGGCTACATTGTTCTTTGTCAAAATGTGTTTTACTTATTTCACCACTCTTTGTAAATTTATCATCTCTCAAATTATTTCCCTTATTTGTCATGTCCAAAGAAGTAGCCACAGTTTATCACCTGTTTATCAATCTCCATTGTACTTGTACTCCATTTTATATATATATATATATATATATATATATATATATATATATATATATATATATATATATATATATATATATATATATATATCTCTTCGTACCTCTGAAGTCCACAGGCCGATTCTCCCAGGGCGTTAGCACCATGGCCAGAGCTTGCTTCTGCATATAGGACAGTGCATCGATTACTGTGGAGGGCACCGCCTCAGCCTGCTCGTGGGAAAACATGCTGATCTGCTGATAGCTGAACACAACCTGGATCCAGTGAGACAAAAACATATATTTAAATAAACAAGCTTTGTACAAGTTATGTGTATTTTGTATACTTACAGAAAATTTTGTAGGTGGAATGACTGAGATAGCCAGCGGTGTAATTCCTTCAATTTGAGCTCTTACCAAGGATGACATGTCTATATCTGGAAGACCAGCTATGAAAGAACAAGAAATGTTCAGTAAGTCTTGCTTTTATTTATCCGAACTAAGAATCCCAATATGTGGCTGTAGTTTTTACAGGATAGTTCTTCTGCATTTCAGGCATAAGCATTAAATGCGAAAACTTCAACAGTTGTCTCGTCAGTTCAGTGAATCAGAGTTTAGCTCGCTGTTAAGATGGAACTGCTAACGTCTCAGTGAGGACTGTATAATAGTAAATTGACTTTACCTGCTATTATTCCAATCTCAATGAAAACATTAGTTCCCCAGAATGGAGTGGGTCCAAAGGCAAGGGCATTGTTCAGCAGCCCAACCATAGCCCTCAACTGGTCCTCTGCACACTTTAGCTTCAGCTGACCAAGGTAAAGCACTGCCTTACTGCAGCCAACAGGTGGAGACATAGTACAAGATCAGTGCCCAGGGTCAGAGCTCAAATGCTGCTCAAGTGAACTTTTATTTACCTGAACTCAACTGCGTTGAAATAAATCATTTCAGATGCTTTAGCCCCACACACAATATGACCCAGAGCCACCAGAGTGCTGGAGTCCAGCTGGCTCACACTCAGCTTGGTTGAGTTTAATACAGTCGTAAACAGAATTTCTTGCTGCAATTAAAATGTTTATATTGAACATGATTAACATAGTTCATCCACAATCTACAGCATACTCCAATAATTTTTGACAAACTGACCTGTTTGCTGGACCACAGATCAACAGCCCCCAGAGCAGAGATGGTGTTACGGTCAGAAAGTTGGAGGCTGCTCAACTCCTCATTTGTCATTTCCACTGCTATTCTCCCAAGCTGAGAGATGAGTGACTGGGTGAAGGAAGAAACTGGACCATACATCTATGAGGAAAACATCAAGAATTGTAAAAAACTACAGAATTTCAAGTTTTATTGTGGGTCTGAGATTGAAGATTGAAGGCTTTGAGATTGAAGGCTTACTTTTTTTACTTTCTGTAACACTTGGATGCGGTGGTAAGAGGGCAAAAATGGATCCTGACCCATTAACTCTAAACAGTTGAGAAATGCAGAAGAGGACATACTGGTCAAGCTGGCAGATATCCAAACAGAGGGAGTGGTTGAATGGAGAATCTCACAGGTAGGAACTATCTGAGGTGCTGGAAAGTAAATGTGATTTGTGTTTAATACAATTTGTATATAAAATAGTTAAAATACTTAAAAGTCATTTGAGTTGCAGCAATAATCCTATATATTACTGGACTGCTTACTCGAAAGAACTTTAAGGAAACCCAAAAAAAACTGCAGGACAAATTGCTGTTTTTCAAAGTTGCTCTTCCTTTCACTGGCATCCAGGCAGTGACTTCCAACAGGCCCACCTTCCCACTCTCGCTGTACCATGAACAGCCTCTCAATACGGGCCACAGACATCAGCTCCTGAGGGCACAGCACATACAGCATTACATGGGCACTGACTCACATGCAGACACGCACGCATGCAAACACACATACACGCACACGCACACATGCACACACGCACACACACACCCACATACACACACGCACACGCACGACGGAAAGGCAGGGGAATCCATGGTGACTCTACTGTGATGTGACACTGGGAGATTCATTTACCAGCTTCATTGGCCTTATCTTTCCTTGTATCACGTAACAATCTGTACTACTAATCCGTACTATAGAACATGCAGGAAATCTGGTGTAAATGTTTCAACTCACTTGTGGGATCTCCTGAAGTTTATTGATGGGTAGAAAGAAGAGAAATCTGCCCACTTGACTAAGTGTGGCTTTTGTCCATGTTTTCACAGGTCTATGAGAAAGCACAATGTTTAAATACTGAATGACCATATTGACCAAAACATAAAGTTAAATGTGAAATTGTACCCAAAAGTGGCTGTTTCCTGTAAGATACGTGCTACTATGTCCATTTTAGTGGTGCCATAACAGAAGGTCTGTAAAAAATCCATGTTTTCCATGAAAAAGTTTCTGTCAAGCTGAATGAATATCTCATCCGTCACAAATGTAGCCATAATCCCCAGGGAGAGAAACTCCTCCTCAGTGTATACCCCTGTGTACATGCTCTGCAGAACAGCAATACATACTTACACTATCACGCAAATATTGTTTAACTGTCAAAAACATAGTTTGTGCAATAAGGTACCAGTCTTTGAACTATTTATCCACCAAAAGATCCTGTTTCTTTCTGGACAATAGAAGAAAATGTTGAGGCTCTGTGATGATCAGAGCTCTGAGAGAGTCCATGATGTCCACAGAGAACTTCTTAACAGTGCTCACTCTACAAAGACCGGAGGATATTAAAAAGTATTCAGCTTCACAGAGTACAGTACACGACTAAATCACAACAGAAATATGTACTTAGTTTCATAATATCGAGGTGCACTGCACAAACTTACGGTATTGCAAGAGCCAATTCAGCTCCAAAATTTGACAGAACTTCTGGGAAGAAGTCATACTGGTACACCTCATCAACCACACATTTTTTCTATTCAGAAAAGCAGAATGGAATTTAAGATGCCCGCATGAACTAAACTAACAAAACCTAAATATTAATATATTTTATACCAGTGAAGTGTGAAGAAGACTGTGCTGCTGTTGCAGGAAGAGCAGGATCTTTCTCACTGATGAAGGAGAACGATTTGCTCTGAGATGCTCTAGTAAAACTTTACAGGTAACTCCTTGGCCTGCTGTCCCAAGGCTCCTAATGAAAAAATGACAATATTAACAAGGTTACCTGACGGATCATATGTCCATACAAACAGATAGAACTTACAGGAAGTCTTCTCTGATTAACCTTGGCTTCAGTTCAAGCACTTTGTTGAAAATAGCCTGGGCCTGGATGGAAAAAGCAAATTTGTTGGCTGTAATGTGATATGAAAACAGTGTCATTGCCAGTGTGTCTATTCAACAAAGTGTCAGAGAAGCTTTTGCTTCTCAAGTTAAATATTTAAGAGCTAACTGAGATCATACACCTTTTCACGAGGCCAACAGAAAAAGCATCTTTAATTAGAAAACAGATTTAATCAGATTAAAACAAAGATCGGAAGTGTACACTTTACAGATGTACGGTACAGTTTCAGTGGCTACCTGTTGTGTGTTCCAGGGCTTTTGAACTGATGTGGTGAGGTTAATGACCAGCGGGCCGGTCCTGTCCAGGACACTGACCAAAGGAGTGCAGAAGAGCAGAGGCTCCACTTCATCCAACCAGCTGGGCACGTCTGCAAAGCCCTAACCATGGCAAAACCAGGAGGGCTTTGGTTAAACATTATTCCAGATTTAAAATCTATTTAACATGTGCCTTACCCAGAGCTTTGTGGCAATGGCATTACATTGGGCTGGACTGAAGCTGGGAGTCTGTTGAGCCATAGAGGGCAGTGAGGACAGGAGCCTCTCAGAGGTCAGTGTCAAAAGGAATTCACTTTTCACTCCCACAACAAGAGAGCCGAGCTGCTGCAGCATCCCTGGAGAACTAATCTGAAGAAACATGATGTTTGTGTCACTGGATATGTACTAATCCAAAAGAACTATTCATATTAATAATTAAGTACTTACTTTCATAACTGAAGACAGCTTGTCTACAATTATAGAGGCCTGTCAACAAAAGAGAAATGAATCTGTGTGAAATTTGATACATCTGACAAAGTGTTTTATTAAGAATCTCTCAGCGTTAATTTTAATAATCAACAGTATAGGCTATAAGTATAAGTCCAAGTAAACAGTAAAACAAAAAATGAGATGGTCTCAGAAAACATCTTTGCACAGATCCTTTACAGCCAAGCAAGTATTTTAGTTTGTGTGATAAATAAGAAATTAGCGTGAAATTCAGCAAAACAATGGAAAAGTGCAGCAGTGGCAGTTAGAACATTCTGAGTTGTATTTGAATTTGTAGTTACTGCAAATTTCACATCAAAACATCTCAGAAAAGCCGGGACAAAGCTGAACTTTGCCACAAAAAAAAAAACTATAATATATGAAAGGTGTTTTTTTTTTTCTTTTGTTTTGTTTTGTTTTCAGTTTTAACAAAATACGGAGTTACTGTACTTTTCCTTTGTAAGGCAGAATATTTCTTCATATCCTTCATCCATATCTTAAACGACTGACATGGAAGTATAAGTACTGGTTTATGGTTTAAAGTAACACGTGTGGTCGAGACAGCAGCTGGGAGACTGCCACTAAACCCAGGTCGGGTCTTTGGTTCATGAGCTCAGTTTCCTGCAGACAGCAGCCTGTCAGCTGTCTGTCAGCACTGCCAGCTGCAGCCAGTCAACCGTGTACAAAACAAACAAGGACTTATGTAGTGAAAGTAACAACATGCTGCGATAGGGTAAGTCTGTGGGGTTATACAGTAATAGTGCTTGACTATTGTGTACCTGTGCTGGGCTGAATGTGACTGATTTGATGGTGGGCAGAGCGTTGAGGAGCTGTGATGGACTCAGGTTCTGTATGAAGCTCACTCCGAGCATGGGCAGGAGGTGCGCTGTCTCTGTGATCTGCTCCCCTGTCAACACTGACGGGTCAACGGTCTGGGTGTTGTTTAGGAGCAAACGAGAGAGCTACAAAAAAGAAGCATGTACACAGGATTTGTTTACATAAAAAACAATAATAAAGTAGTAAGACAGTTATCAGAGCAAAAAATACCAAGTAGCTGGGCAGATTGAGTCCATCGCGGGTGCAGTTTCTGATGGCGTCTTGGATAACAGGAAAAGCCTCAGTTCCTTTGTACACAATCAGGTCTTCTGGATCGGCTCTGCATATGATAGGCCCAAGCCTGCCAAATCAGAAGTGATCGTAATTATTCATCAATTTATCAGCAACAATCCAAACTGTATGTGGATTTATTTATAGCAGCTGTAATAACAAATATAGACTATAGAGAACATGTATCTGCAGTGTTTGTAAACACATTAGATCTGACCTGATAAAATCCTGAGCCGTCAGGTTTTTGTAAATCCCAATGAGGCGCTGTGCTATGAACTCTTGTTTTATGGGACTCAGGGTGTTTTTCTGTAGAACATCTAACCCATCCATAAGCTGTGAGAAGTGAGAATAAACAGTAAAACAGCAAATTACTCAACAATAAATTAGGTAAATGTGTTCACTGACAAGTTGGTACCATGGTATTATTAATTTAAGTGGTCCCATGTTCACTTATTGATTACAAACAGGAAGCCCCAGCATATGAAATGTGACAGAGACAGAGGGCTTGTGTGCTCTGTTGGCTGCAGTGAGACTTGTAGCGGTGTTTTGCCTTAGGGCTAATGGCACACACAGATGCCCAACTTCTCCAGTTACCCCGCCTGGTATCAAAGCTCGGGGCTGTCACCTGAGCAGCTGAGAGGTGTTGGAAGTTGTAGAAGGGCAGGTAAGTGATCAGGTTTCCGGTGTCCCTGATGAGCGATTGTTGACCTCTGGTGATGTTGATTGGGAGCATCACTGTGCCAAGCCAGGCGCCAAATGCATTACGCTGCTCCAGAGACATTTGGTCCAGGTACAGGTTTATGGTCTCTCGCCTGAAAAGATGCAGTTAGTTACAGTTAGTGTGTTTTAGAAGAGAGGAAAGTCTTAGAAATTGGTGTATGTTGTTCCCCAATAGCAGCACCTTTTCAAAGAGATATATAGGTTACCGTGTATGTATAAAATTTAAAGGTCCTATATATTATATTGGCTCTTGTCAGCTTTAAGCCATGTTAGAATGTTGTTTCCACAACAAAAACACATCTGGATTTGTGTTTAGTTTTATTCATGCAGGTTTGAGCAATCCTTTGTTATTAGTCTCTCTACATCTACAAAACTCAGAGGGCTCTGTTCCGGCTTGTGATGTCGCGATGTCATCTTGTGAAGCTGTAATTTCAAGTTAACAGCTACCTTCCACATTTTGTTCAGTAGAGATTGATAATTCCAGTGTTAAAGTCATTCAAATTATTCAGGTGAAGACATGTGTAGTTTAAAAATACAGAGGAGCACTTCCTGTATTACCACATGACATCTCAAGGTGGAACAGTAGTTTCCATTTGAGAGAAGAACTCAGTATAAATATGCAGAATTTGTGTGTTAAACATGTGTGAATCAAACAAAACACAACTTCAGGAACAATAATATTAAAACACATATAAGAAAATGGTGTAGTATAGGCCCTTTAAATTATGAATCCAAAATATAACAGTGGAATTTTATGATAGCTTAAAAATATGTTAATAATACAAATTCAGATTTAAATGTTTGTATGCATTTATTAGAGCATGGCAAGATTATGTACAGACACAAATAAATCTGTAGAAGAGGGAAGGGCAGAAATCATATCTAATGACCTGTTTAGTGAATACTTACTTAGCACTTAACGTATAAACTACCCTGAGAAGATTTAATTCTATGGAGTGAATGGGTTTCCTTTACTTTCTATGCATAATGTATGTCCCTGACACTTCAAGGTGTAATGACGTATTGCTTCCAAGACCAGCCTGATATAGGAGCTAAGTTTAGATTTCAGCTTTGCTCTCTATAGTCTTACCTTAAGGTGACACGAGGCAGGTGAACAGGAGTATCTTAAATGTGGAGAAATCAACCACAAGATTTCCCTTAAGTACTTAAGTTATTTAAAAATGTATTACATGTTTGTATATAAGAATATGACTCAAATGCCACAAATGACTAAAAGTAAATGTATTTCAGGCGAATAAATCTAGATAATATTTTGAACAAAAAGAAGTGTGGATTTTGGACGTTGTAATTATTGTTTGAGAGCCTGCCAGTAAGTGCATTTTCTTCGGATTTGAAAAAAGTTATTTGAGGGAATTAAGTGTTTTATATAAATCTATTGATGGAAATTGATTCAGTGAGATCATAAAACATATTTTTGTTTAGGTTGGACAATTTTTGAAAGAAGATTAGTACTGAGATACATGATCCGCAGATTGAATACAGCCGAGAGCCGTGCACACTCACACTTTGGCGTTGTTCTGGAGCAGGGGCAGAGCCTTGATGTCCGCTGGACTGGCCAGAGCCAAGAGTGATGCCAGGTCTGAAAACAGAGTTCCATCTGTGGCCAGGTGTGTCTGGAAAAGCACTGACGCCAGCGTGGGCAGGTAGTTCTGTGGAAGCTGGAAAACACAAATCAGATTGGTGTCAGCAGGAATCTGACACCTGCTTTCAACTCAAATATCTTGTGACACAGAAAACTTTCATGAAGCAGGTGAAAAGTGGGATAGAAGTTAGAGGTGGGTGGTGTTGACAAAAATTAATTATCTTTATTTTTTGGGGGTTATCTTGATGACATTACAATATTATTGCAATTTATCAGAAACAGTTTTTATACCTTTTTTTTTTTTTTTTTTTTTTTTTTTTAAGATTACAGTGTTTGTTTTGTTTTTTATCAGCTCTTTGCCAAATTAGCAAATAGTATTTTTTATTATTTTTTAGATAATATACTTATTTTTCAATACATCTCCTACTTCTAATTGCAGTTGTATGTGTTTTTGTACCTGTAGATTGTCCTTCTTCTGGCTGTAGTACAGGAGGATCATTCGAATGGTTGTGACGTGAGATCCACTGAGCACTGACCGCAACTTGTCCACTGGTATGTTAAAGTACTCCTGTATACACATATATAGGTTTGTGTACAGGTACACAGTGATAGGATGCTAAATAAATAGATAATAAGTAATGGTGAAACATTACCTGGAAAAAGTTAAACTCGTCTGGGGTGATGTCTCGTGGCGTCTGCGTGAGGCTGGTGAGTACCCTCTGTAAAACACACATACAGTATTAATCTGATCATCTGTATTGTATTGTATTCTCAAGTGTTACGTTTGTAAAGATTGCAGTACAAGGCCACATTCATTATGCAGATATCAGTGGCAGGATTGTAACTGTATCCAGAGTCGCCTGTAGGCTGAGGTCAAGCTATACAATGACATTAAAGGTAGTCTGCATGATTAAAGAATTAATTACTCATTAAATAGAGAGGTGACTGGTATACAAATCTCTCTTCTAGTGCTGTGCGATTAATTAAATTTTAATCAAGATCGAGATTCAGGCATTTCTGTTCATCAACAATGGTATAATTTAGTGTTTTATTCAAAAGGTCCACAGTCAATCCTCTGTCTTTTTGTTAACTGGCTTATATTCAACAAGACAAAATAAAATTGAATAAAAAAATTGTGTTCAATATGAGAAATTCAAACAATAAAATCTTGATTATTGAATTCTCTCTTTTTTTTTTTTTTGGTTCTTTAATATCGCCTGCCCAGCCCTAGGTATGCCCTGTGTAGTAGCCTGGGATCAGACACTTGATGTAGTTTGGTTGACTGTCAGGTTATTCTTATTTTAACTAATTAAATGGTCACCTTGCACAAACCTTAGAACATCTTAATTCAAATGATCAGAACTTCTTACCCCAAAGCACTGCAATAACACCCTCTTGTTGACAAAGTCGGTTTCCTTTTTGAAAAACGTCTCCACGGTCGCCATAATACTGAGGCGTATATTCTCAGTCACATGATACGTCGTGTTCTGAATCTCCTCCAGCGCTAACAATGACACTACAGCCATGCTCATAGCCTGGTCCAACACAGCGATCACTTCTGGGGTCAGCAGGTGGCTCATCCTGGTCCTCACATTCTCTAACCAACAGCGCACAATCATCTGCATCATCACATTTGGTCCGGCCCCAGGTTGACAGGCTAAGATAAGGTCCAGTGAGCATGTCCAGTTAAACTTCTTGATCAGATCTTGAGCTAAACAGAGATGAGGTTCACTGGGTCTAGTATTAGTGACATTAGCTGCAGAGGCACACGCAGACCCCACCCAGGCGCTGTATGGTTCTTGCAACAGTACAGATAGAAGATTTGAATTAAGGCAGATAACAGACACAAAATTAGCTTGGTCATGCTCCCAGCACAGGGTTATCAGTACTGGATCTGGAAGTGCAACGCTCCAGCTCAAATATAGACACTGGTCTCTGGGGTTGAATCCCACAATGCCTGTCTCATTTCTTCCATTAGAGTTTTCCTCTTTACTGGTGTGGTTGGAGCAATGTTGAATTAGCCATGTGTTGTCCTGATTGGCCAGAAGGTTTTTGAGAACTGTCCCATTGAGGCAAACTTTGGAGATGAAGTTACTAGGGTCTGCCACTGCACACACGGCTACCTCAGTCATGTCCACAATTATGGGCCTGGTCCATTCACCATACTTACAAACCTAAAAAAATGAAACATACAAAATTGTTTTCAAACAATACAAATGAGTAAAACATTATTGGTTACAATCACATTGCATCACATTGTTTAAAGGGCACATAGTTTACTATTTTCTGATCTATGTTATAATGTTGTTTCCTCATTACAAACATTACAACAATTCCAGGTAACAGCATTCTAACATGGCTTAATATGTTAATATTAAGCCATGTTAATATGTCCTATATTAATTGCATAATATAGGACAGGGGTCTCCAAGCTTTTTCTCCTGGTGAGCTGGTTGAGCTAGTGCCCAAAGTTAGGTATCAAAATTATACATTTACAATGGCAGTTCATCAGATTTGAGTCATTCAGTACAATATGTATAATTCAGAAATCCTTTGGAGAGCTACTTGGAAGGGGGTGGAGAGATAGTGGTAGTTCCTGAGCTACAGGTTGGAGACCAATGATATAGGACCTTTAATTGAGCTGGAAGTCAGATCAGAATTCTATGGTAGTTGCAGAGCCGAAACATATCCACTCTTTAAAAACTTTTGTCCAGATGAGAGAATTCAATTTTCTTTTGGCCTAGTTTGTGGTTAATAGATCTGTAATTACTGGGCTCATTCACACGAAACAAAACTGGTGCAAAGTTCAACATCTTCTCTGTCAGCTTAGACAAAAATAAGTTTTGTTTTTGTTTTGTTTTTCCCCACAATGACTTCATTGAAAGGACTTTAATGGTGCACTACATAACTTTTTTGATGGGGTGTCCGCACATGGAGATCTCATTGCTTTGCCTGGCAGATTCGACAGTATGGCATTACAGTTAAATATACTGTATTTATTGATTTACAGGTGTTTTATTGCTCAAAAATAGCTTTAAAAATATGTATTCTTATAGAAAGTGGGGTTGCCTCTGCACAGATCTGACCTGTAACTTAGCCTGGTGCTGTCATCGGCTTGCTTCTATAGAGATATACATGTTTTATGCCATACTGTGGGAAAATACAGGCAAAATAGTAACATCACCATGGAAAAAAGCAGGAGAAGACCCTCCACCAGAAAAGTGAGGATCATATTATTGGATTTTTTTTTTTCCATAAAGTAATATAGGTGAAAGCTGTCTATCTGAAATTATAACATTATGAAATACTACAACGTGAACACAACCTACTATACATTTACTATATAGCATTATTAACCACTCACCTGTTGTATGAGCAGAGCCTTATCAATTTCTTCAGTATCATTGCAAACTGTACGCAGCCAAGTGTTGCGAGGGTCCTGCAGAAGCTTTTGAAAAACTGTTACATTGCAACAGACATTTTTCTGAAAAGCCAGTTGGTCATGCTGCCAACACAAACCCACCACTGAGTCATCAACATAGCGACTCGCCCACGTTTGATAGGCGCACCATTCTGTTATATTAAAGTTTTCTTGATTTGGCGATGGTATTTCTAAAACAGCTTTTGCACAATGTGGTCGTAGCCAGTCGTTTTGCTTGCTGAGCAGAAGTTTGTTCAGAAAGGTTTGGTTTGCACATACTTCTCTAGTAAAATCCTCTGCATTGAACTGAGAGCATAGAGAGATTACATTAGGATGAATCAGAGACACGTCTTGCCAGCGTGAATACTGGCACGGATCCACTGCATCTACTTCTGTGACGGGAGGGGGCATGGGCAGTATTTCTGAACAGTTTGGCATGAGATGTGCATTTAGGGGATTGGAAAATAACAGCATAAAGAATCCTAAATTTTGACATATGAGCAGAGAGAGGCGCTCTTTGTCCAGTATCATGCAGAAATCAAGGAGATATGGATCAATTACTGAAGACTGGAACATCCACTGGTCATACAGGCAGTGCTCAGTCACCATGTAGTCCAGGTTTGCAGTTGAGTTCCCACAATATGCGTACAACCAAATATTTGTATTATCTGAAAGCAGCTTCTTCATTAGTGTAGCATTGTTACACACATTTTTCACAAACTCTTCCCACTGGATGTCCCCACACAGAGACACCATCACAGGGTCGACTGAAATAGTGTCCATCCAGCTGTTGTAATTACAGGCAAGCTGCTTAAGATTAGTTGCTTCTCTAACTAGTCTCAGTGGTGGGTTAGGTGCAGATGTAGGAGGCGGATTGACAACAGGGTTAGGAAAAGTGCCTACATTGGGGCAATCGACTGCTGATCTGGTTGTCAGCGGTGACATGACAGCTTGGAAAACATAACAAGCATTGCTCCAAACTAGCTCTATCTGTTTGGGGTTTAGGGAGCTCAGCGCTTGGCAGAACAAAAGCACAGAGACAGAAGGTGTTTTCCTCAAACCTGATACAATTTCTGGACAAATTGTATCATTCAGCTCAGCCAGGTTTTGGTGGTCACACTGCAGTAGGATGTTGCGATAAATGTCTATGTTTTTGTTTGAGTCCAGAGCCGATCGCTGGAAAGGGACCCCAGGGCAGTTAGAACTGGGGTATGTGCAGACGGACTGGTCTGGAGCCAGAAAGATGTCCAGAAGAATGTCAATAAGTGCTGTACCGAAAGACCAGCTCACGTTGTGATGAAGACCCCTGATCAAAACAGAAATGTTAACATGTAAAAGATGTACCTCTATAAATAAATGCATGCTGTATATTAAAAGGTGCACTATGGACCGTTTCAGGTGGACAATTGGCCATTACTTCCATCAGTCCACCCAGTACAGTGTGAATGAATAATGACTAGAGCATAAGAACTTAAGGGGCTTCAACAAGCCTGTGAAGCACATTACAAGTGCAAGGCATTATTATGATTATCTGCTTGTCTCACAGGAAATGTTACTGCTTTGCCCGGAATGTTCCACAGTATGGTTTTAACTAATACATAAAGAAAAACCAGGTGATGCCACAAGGCCAAGTTACAAGTTAAATCTGTGAGGAAGGAGCCTGCTCATAGTAAAAATATGTCAAGGCATTTTTAAGCAACAAAAAGACCTATAATCAAATAAGTACAGCTGGTAGTCACCTGCTATAAAGTAATGTTACAAGCACCAGAAATGTTACATAGTGCACCTTTAAATTAATGCTTTTATCAGTGAGGATGTTGACAAAAGGAATGTGATTATATTTTAAAATGATTTTAACACAATATTTATTACATTATCTAAATTACCCAGAGTATTTCCTGTGATGAAACTTTAATCCTGTAAAATATTTGAGGACTTACCACATGATGAGCTGCTTCAAATCTCCTGTGAAACAAACATAACAATCCATCACCTTCGTATAATTCACATTTGAAAATACATTTACATATGCAAATAATATAAATAAACTCTTACCATGCTCACACTTCCCCTGGTTGTCCAGTGTGGGCACTCTGATCCCAAATTGCAGTGCTATCTTTATGTACTCGACAGGTACCTCTAGTACAGAAAACAAAACCTCTAATATGTATTTGGTTAGAGTGTCCACTAGGCCACTCACTGCATCCACCAGGTTTCCAGATACAGGCAAATAAGTCAGGATGTTCAAAAAAATATCTTGTATCCCCACCAGAGTGGCCAAGGTTGAGTCGCTCATCTGAAAATATGCTCTGAAGAAGCTGTACGCATCTCCATTTGTGCCAAAGTCTGTGGGGCACGTTGGACTGGTCAGAGACGCCACTGCAGCTATAACAGTTGGACCCATCTCCACGGAAACAGCCCTGATCAGCTCTGCCTCCAGTCCGCAGTCCTGTTTCCCTGATAAGACACATACTAACATCTTTGGGAGATCTTCTATGAACCCTTCTCTCATCAGAGGCTGCAGGAGCACATACAGGTTGGACATGACGCTGTAGTAAGCGTTAAGGTCCACGCCCTTGACTGGGAGAGGGTCAGTGCTGCGGGTCTGGCTTTTGGGTTCAGACAGAGAGTAGATTTGATTGATCACAATCTGGATGTCCTTTTCCAGGCTGCTGCCACTGGCCGGAATGGGGGCTGCCTTTCTGTGGATGATTTTGGACTCTGAGCAGGCCAAGTGGACCGCACAGATGATCGCTACAAAAGAGAAGAACAAATAAATAAGAAAAATGTTTCAGAAGAAGCGCTTCCTGGACCTCCAGAGGATAATACACAGTAGATCCAACTCAGTGGTGCTCTTTGGGAAGGGAAGTCAGTACAAAGATGCAAAAAACCCAGGGGACAAACAGTTTGTCCCCTGAGGAAAGCCATAGGCTGAAACGCGTCGGGACTTTGTAAGTTGTCCATTAAAACATGCCGTAAACTAATAAAGGCATTTTATTTTAACCAGTGAGTGCCTTGGGTTTTTTGCATCTTTGAACAAATAAATATGCTTTAATTTTTTAGTCTGTCAACATCTCCAAAGCTCAAAATGCTCTTGGGACTTGTGATGTCATGTAGTGGTAGTTTTTAACAGTTACCTTTTGCAATTTGTTTAGTCGGCATTGGCAATTCCAGGGCTGAAATTATCTAATTGATTCTAGTGATGGTTTATGGAGTATAAAAACATAATGAGCACTTTTTTTCCAACTGAGAGAAGAGCCTAAACATGCAGGGTTTGTGTTAAACATGTGCGAATGAAACAAAACTCATCTCCTGGTATGTTTTTGATGAGTAAAATCATTATAACATCAGAAAATAATGTAATATAGGTCCTTTAACATTAGCCTACCACAAATGGATATCTATAGACTGATACACTAATTATTCTTAAGCTTTAATCAATGAGCAGTGGAGGGTAAACAAAGTAGGTGATGATCAAACTTTCCATAAGGAAGTTTCATTGAAAAAAACGCCTAGGCCAGGTCTTATTATATCCAGGTTTAAATCTTCCACTAATATCTTCATGACTCCTTGATTTTCAAACAATATGCCAGAGAATAATGTGTCTTGCAAAAATGTCCAATTTGTACTATATCACACAGTCATTGATTGATTGTATGTTAGGCTATTGGACAATTTGGAGCGTCCTGGCAGAGCAAACTCAACCAAAGACACTAATATCAGAACCCGATAAGGCAGACACGAGGACACAAATGTTAATTACACTTCTTTTAGTAGGCTATATTCATTGGTGTAATTTTAGTATGTTTGGGTGGATGGTGCAATGTCACATCTGGTAAACAAAATGTGTGTTGTGAAAAAAAAAAACTATAGGCTATTGGTCAGCTACATTTCGAAAATCAGAGTAAATGCCCAAGCACATCACAAAATGTAATATAATAGGCTACCAGAAACACAGTTTCACTTATTATTCTCATGGCAGTCAATATTTCAGTATAACTCACCAAAAAGGACTCCCGCTCCGCCCGTCAGCCACATCCTCTTATTTCGGGCTCTCGGTTTCTTCAACAAAAACAGTTTATCCAGTTGGAGTAGATGAATTGTTCACATAGATCAGCTGGGCTCGATGCACAATAAGGCTGAACATTATTTTATCTCAGTAAACGGACTGTCTAAGCCGCGTGCTCCGTCCACTCCTCATCAGACCTGAGCGCGTCGTGCGTCTTGGCCGCAGGTCTGCGCCGAGTCCGTCCCTCTGTAACCATACACCTGCCCCGGGCCGCAGCGTAATTAAGGCCAACGGTAAGGGACAAACGGAGGTGCGAAAAGAGGGCCGTGAAACGCACAAGGGATTTCTTTCTGCAACAAGCACAGCCGTCAGCACTGAATTATTTACGCGCTGTGTTGATTAACTCCAGCGTCTGAAACCCGAGTTTGAGCGCAGGAGCCAGAAGACACCAGAGAGCCAAGAGTAAAGATCTGCCCGGTATCACATAATGAGGCTATTACCAAACTTAAACTATTGTGATGGTAAATGGCGCAATAAGGAGTTAAGGAGCTGACTGGTAGGCCTATTTACAGAAACTTATTAGAAATGCAATAATGTAATAATAATTATGTAATAGCAAGGTACCTGAGGAGTAGTGGTGTATTGTGTGATGGTATAGGCTATAGAAATGTGAATTTGTGCATTTGTAACGTAGTCTGGTCAGCCAAGAACACACGCTTCCCTGTTTCTTTACAAATAAGTGAATGAATGCAGAGTATAGTGGAGAGATCACTCATGTGGTCCCAGGCAAGAGGCAATAGAAACCTTGACCATTGTAGCACTGCAATAGCTTATAGTTGTAATTGTAACTTGCCTATTCTTCCCTTCAGTCATAAACATAATTAGCAGTGCCTGGTATCTTCTCATTTACACGTGCCTATTGGAAAACAGTTTGCCCACTTTCCATCATGGTCTGAAACATTTTATCAAAAGTGAAATAAACACAGCATGGAGAGGTTTCACCTTTAAAACTTTGTTTCAGAAAGTCAATGTAACTGTATATACACTTTACAATAGCATACAGCCAGTTGGTTTACAAAGATGTCTTTTTAAATACATCCTCAGCACAGATTAAATGGATAATGATATCTACATGTTGCTCTTTTCTGCAGAAAAAGTGCCAAGATTTTAATTTACTTCAGGACTTTTCCAAAGCAAGGCGTATTCTACATGCTAAGTTAACAGTTCAGTGACATTGCTCTAAACTAAAACACAAATATTTGTAAGAAAAAAAAAACTCCATTTGATGTAGTTAAATCTTCATTAATACATTTAAAAGTAGATATGACATGCCTTTTGAAAACAAAAATACAAAAGAGTTCCTTATTTTAAGGATTTTTTTAAAACATGAAGCTGCATGTATTGTACAACACTTGTACAATGAACTGGTAATGCACAGTAAATGAGCTGAATAAAAAATACTTCCGCCGATCCTTAACATACAAGTCGTAATAACACTCAGTCTGGAATAGCACTGCTGTTTCTGTAGGATGGGAGTAACAATGTGAATGTCTATGGACTATTGTCAGGAGGGTTTGGGGTTGTAGAGCGAGTATTACCGTTGTCCCCTTTTGATAATGTGCACTGGTAGTTTCTGATTAGGAACCAGAATGAATTTGGAAAAACACAGATCCATGCTTCTTTTACATTCACCGTCTGGACAAGTGCACTCAAGACAAAGTGTCCGCCATTGTGCCCTGTAAATGTGGAACATTTATTTTAATTTGTGGAGAAGAAATGTAAAACTTTGATTAATATGGATTCAGCCAGGGTAAATGAAGAACTAGAGTCACATACAACATAAACTGCACATTCAATGAAGATATCCAGGTTTCAGCAATAATGACTTCAGTTCTGATTGTCATTTGCTTAAGAGAAGGGTGTAATTAAGAGATGGCCAAATTGGGTAGTGTACTTCTATGGCACTGTACAGATAATCCAGACCAACAGTTGAATCATTAAACAAAAAGCAAGAAGACGGGATCCTGTCCACACATTTATATCATGGACTCTGGTAAAACAGCATTAACAATTTGGCTCAAAATCCTCTCTGAGCTAAACACATTCATGACGCTAGATTTCTTAAAACATTGCTTAAACTGTGCTTCAATAAAAGCTTTTAAAAGTTAACAAGCTGAGGGGCAGGGAGGTTGAACTTTGCCCCCGAAGGCGAGTGGGATGCTGGTGCCAGAGGCCGCTGGTACAAGGTCTGGCCACAGATCTGAGTAGACACACGGGCAGATATGTGCTACATTAGCCATAATGCTACAGACAGAGCCACCACGATACAAGAGAAATCAAAGCTGTGACTTAGCCAGAATACTTGATTATGATAAAATACAATACTGATTATAGACAAATGACAAAAATACTACAGTTAGAGAGGTTCATGTTGCCACTGATCACTTTGAAAATGAATGCCCAAATTTTTTACAATGACTGATTTTCCTAATAAAAAGTTTGTTTTGTTTAACTGTGGAGTGGACCGTTATAATTACACACCATTCATAGTCTTCAATGAAAACAAAAGCACTCATGTTACACCCCCCGTTTAAAATATATTACAAACATAACCAATACAATTCCTATCTGCTTACAAACACCAGAAAAATAAACTGCAACCAACTATAGAAATGTGACCCAGCTACAGAGGAATGCATATGATTTTAGAGGCTACAGTTCTCAGGTGTTGTTTGGAGTAAACATACACAGCGTCCAGGCGGCTGATACCAGTCTGTAGCCAAAGAGTCACCTGTGTGAGCACCAGAGATGCAGTAAGATGAAGCTTCTCTTTCCCGAACATCCACAAACGCAGCACCAAGAAAATGTGTCCCGTTCCAGTCAATGTGAAGGTTTATCTGGGCTTTTGTTTAAATGTGATGAGATTTTAAATTTGACGTCCATATTTGCAAAAACTTTTCTTTCAAGATTTTTTTTAAAAGAACTATGATGTTTTTTTTTTTTTTTAAAGTAAAAAGGCCGAAACAAAAGCTCAACGTTTAAAAATGGCAATGTTGTAGTTTGTAATCCAAAAAATTTTTTTTTCTTTTTACACTGGTTTTGTCTGTCAGTTATTTCAGGATGTCCCACTTTCAGTAAAAGATGTCACATTCAGTCAGGGGGCAAAAGGTCATGAAGCCGAAACCTCTCTCGGACATGCGGTCGGACATCCTCATTCTGGTGGAACACGTAGTTAGGACAAAATTTCCATTAATTCTACATTAAGTGCCATTTAATTAAGTTAAGTTTGTTTACGCAACTTACCATCTCCACCAATTTCTCCAGAAAGGGCACCAGTTTCAAAAGCTCATTGTCATTCTTGTCCATAAACCAGCTCTCAATTGGAATACCATTGGACAACTTAAAAAAAAAAAAAACATTTTCAATAGTTTGAAAAATCAATGTAAAAACAAATAAATACAATGTAAAGTGTCATTTTGTGATGCGTTACCTGATAAGCAAAGGCTTGTGGTGAATTGTCAATGATGATGGTCTTTGACAGGTCTCTGCCTAAAATGTTGAGGTCCTTAATGTAGTTTCCCTGGACGCAGACACAGTGCTCCCGAAACAATCTGTGCCTGGTTAACACGATAGAAGGAAAAATCAATTACAGCCAAGAGAAGAACGCAGCAGTATGATAAATTTATATATTTACAACATTTCCAATACCTTACTAGCTGCTTCTTAGGATCCAAGATATTCAGCAATTTATCTGCATACACCTTTTTTGATGCTGTGAAAAGGATAATCTCGTAGATTTGAGACATTCGCTCCAAAAACTCCCTGAAGAACGGCCTCAAACGGACATACACCTGCACAGAATCACCAGTGTAAGAACTCAATGTGTCAGTATAAACTTTATAGTCTAATTGAAGTTTTCTTACAAATATAATGGACACTATTTCCACTATACAACAGTCTAAACAGCTTTGGCACCCCCTAGTGGTGTCAAGAGAGTGGGACATACCTGGTAGATGACATCCTGGAAGAGGACAGGGAAGGTTAGCGCAGCATCCTCCAGTTCATTTAAACTGCAGTGGACCAAGGTCTCATCCTTTTGGGGAAATAAAGTTGGTAAGTTTCAACCTTTGTTTTATGGATAAAATATATATATAACTTACTTACCAAGTCTAAAACAAGAGAGAATTCTGGTGTACTGCGAGTCTTCAAGGGCAAAGCTGGCTTACGAGTGAGCTGCTCTTCTGTCAGAGGAGGGACGTGCTTGATGAAAAAATACCTGGAAGTAAAAAATAAACATTCATTGCATTTTGGTGTTATGTTAGCAAGGTTTTGTCAAAGAAAGATATCCATATGAGAAACATTTCATCCACTTTTCTCTTAAGTGACATTAAGCTGTTACTCACGGGTCAAACACTTCCCAGTCCTCCTCATACGATGTTTCTGGTGGAACTGCAGCAGGTGGCGAATCCACATAGGTTATTTCTGGACTGGAGCCTGGAGCTGCAATAATAGCAGTGGTTGTCAACACTGTTATAATTTAATGAGGAGCACAATGCTGCTTTATTTGTGATAATGTTCACCTGTGAGAGGTGGTAGGTCTGGGTCTGCCTCGAGCTCCGCCTCCTCCTCTGCAGTAGCTGAGGCCTCAGGGATGTGAGGGCTTCTTAGTGGGGGCAGGTGGGACACACTGGAGTAGTAGTTTGTGGCGGTGCACATTTCTTCTGTTGATGCACCCGTGCTGGTGGGGGTCTCCATGGTCTGCTCCATGTCCAGCTGCTTGACGATCTCCTCAGCCTCCAGCGCCTGATCTGGAGAGTCAGACCCCGATGAGGCTGAGACCACAAAAAGGTAATTAACTTTAATCTGAAGTAAACTAAATTCTAAAATATTACAAAATGTGTCAACTATGGTGCACAAGAACAATTTAAAAGCAATTTGTACATAGTTTTCTTACCATTTTTAGCTGGTGAGAAAAAGTTAAAAACTGGAGAAAAGATGGTCCCAAGAAGGGTTGTCCTGGGTGGGCTAGCCACCTCTGCAGCTTTAGCTTCCTCCAAGCTCCCATTTGACTTCTCCTTACTCGTGTCATGATTAGTGGCCTCTGTTGAACAACAAAAAGAGTTAATATTTAAAATTATAAATATGTATCTTTTGTTTTGGTATAACTGCTTTTGTATGTGACTCACGGCCATTAACAGGGCCTTTCCTGCTAACCCTGCTCCGTGGGGTGTTAGCATTCGGTGTGGAGGTGATCAAGTTGTTGTCCACGTCACACTGGATTCGTGCCTTCTTGGCCGGGCTTTCCTGTACCTAAAGCACACACATGCCAATTATAACATTTGGTGCGTTTTAAGATAAACTCATTTCCTTTAAGGGGTCACCGGACTATCTTCACCCCCTTCACAATATTAATCTCCGCTTCTTCTTTCTTTGGATCTCATGCTCTTTCTTACCTTTCAATTCACTACCAAGTACTCATGTCCAAACCATCTCAAACTGACTTTTTTTTAAACATCCATAAACTGTCCCTCTGATGTGCTCATTACTACACCTTTACATTTAAGGCCAGTTTTTGAGGGCCATTAGACTTCCTGTTGACACAAAGACAACAAGTACTTCTTTAAGGCAAAAAAGTATTCTACCACCATCATAACCTAAATAATAATAACAAAAAAACACTAGTGTAATGAGGGCTAAGTTTGTGAAAATGGGATTTTTTTTTTTAAAGAAAGGGCATATTGCAGGAGAATAAAGATTACTCAAGCATGCATGGGTCACTCTAAATACAACAAATGGGTAAATAATGAGGTAAAACAATTATAATGTGGTTAAAAGCTCTCAAGTAAAATGTGTTTAATACAGCTCAGTGTCTCAGGCCTCATTAAAAGATGTAGTGACTTTGTCAAACCTGTTTGTCTGTGATTCACTTTATTGTCTGTTATAGTCTGTGGTACTCGGCGGCATATATTGAAAAATATAATATGAAGCAACCAGTACCAAAAAAAAAAAAAAAAAAAAGCCCCCTTCTGAACAAAAACAGTGCTAAATTGACAATATGGATGAAAGTTGTTGTATACAAGAGTACATATTACATAAATATGTTGGGCTATTAACCTGGGGTAATTGAGTTTAACAATTTCGCAGATACTGTATTTGAATACTAAAAATATATCCAAACAATTCTATTGTAACACGAAGGTTTTCAATGTAGCAGAATAGACTTTTCCACTTGTTCCCGCCTCCTGTCCCTGCGCACCAACTCTGTGAGCTAGTATCTAAAATTAGAACCAAGCTGGACTTCTCCGACAAGCCGCTGCATTCCTACAATCATTTCTTGGGAAACATGACACTCCACACCAAGAAACACTGTGTTTAACTCAGGGGGAACACAGACATTTGTCCCAGAAAAGTGGCATAAAATGGCATTAGACTTGGGGTACTGATGGCAGCACAGATCAGCAGGTCATTACCTTGACAGCATTTCCTCTGATGAACTTCTTGATGGTGGAGAACAAGCCCCTGCCACCACTTGTAGGAGTGTCCTCTTCCACTTCTGAATGCCTCCGCTTGGTCCTGTTTGGGCGCCCTGCCAGGCTGGGGTTTGACTGCTGAGACGCTTTACGCATTCTCAGCCTCATTGTTGGAGCAGTCACATGTAAATCTGTAAAAACACAAGTGGAGTGTGACAAGAGACAAAAAAAGAAAATCCACAAAAAAGCATTGTTCCCCAATGGCTATATTAGATAAAATGGTACAAACTACAAAAGGACAAATACTTTCCTTTATGCACCAAAGTAGACTAGTACATTTCTACCAACATCTGGATACATTTAAGATCCCATTACACTTACATCACAGTGAATCACAGCAGCAACAGCTGTTTTTGTTCTGCCCATACAGTAGAAGAAAAACATTAGTCCAATGTACTATCCCCTCTTTGAGATTAAATTGAGATCTTTAAAATGTATTCTACTCTACTAGTGTTCACACTGAGATAGACAGTAAGCTGGATAATTGGTCCGTTTTCTGCTCAGACTAAATCATGAATTGTCTGTCTGCTGCGCCTGCCTCCCAGAGTCTTGCGTAACAACAGCTGGCTGAAAATGTGTCTGGACATATCCATAATCAGGAAGAAACTCAGATACAAAAACACAATTTTAAAACATACAGCACCTGTCATAACGCAAAAATCTAATACATTCTATTAAAAGGTGTACAATATATTTTGGCACCTGGCATCTGCTTGTCTCTATGGAGCCTTTATTGCTTTGCTTGGAATGTTCCACAGTATAGCAGTAAATGTACATTTCCATGGAGACAAAAAGGGAACGCTACCTGCAAAAGTTACAGATCACATCTGAGGAGAGGTGATCCCGCTCAGTAATAATACAGGTTTTTGACACTGTAGCAATAAATATACCCATAATTGGATTACTGCATGCTCAATAAATTTAATCCCATACTGTGAAACATTACAAGCAAAGCAAAAGCATCTCTCAGGGCGGACCAGGAAATGTTACATAGTGTACCTTTAACATGCTTCTCATATAAAAGAATTGGATATCAGTTCTTTGCGGTAAAAGTGCAATATTCGGTATTTTAAAAGGCTAAAATTGACACAGCATTTTTGTCTCTAACCAGTGTCAGTGCAATGATTTAGATGGAACAAATAACTTTATCACAAATAATGTGTTATATGTCATAAATCTATTTGCAGATGTGCGTTATAAACATCTAGTGCCTGTAAACAATGTCATCCACCTTTATGCAAAATTTCGCCTCTCCCGAGGATAGTGAAGTAGGTACGGACAAACTGAGCGGGAAATAGGAACAAGCCAGTGTACCACAGAGGCTACTCAGGCTAGGCGCAGGTTAGCCCCACAAGCACCAGTGCTGCGGCCCTCTAGCCCTGACCCTCCTCCACCATTTTTCAGGATTAGGTTTTACATTTGCCTCTAACAATATGCGCTTTTCAACAAAGTCCATATGGTCAACAAAGGGAGACACGAGTCAACCGAGCGCATCTACCGTAAACAAGCAACAATTAGCGTGATTACCAGGATATAGCTAATTTAACCAAACAGTTAGCATATTAGCTAGCTTGTTATCAAAGCAACTCAAGTGAAATAAAAAAGACGAAACGTAACAAACCGTGGCTGGTTTTAGTACATGCACTGTAATACACATAACACCATGCGGTGTATGTTTATAGATGCCGATCATGCATGCTTTAGTTTGCTATGGTTGCGGTAGCATCTCATGCTAGCTATGCGCTAAGCTAGCGCCAATTCCGTCAACATTTCAAAATGTTTATTGCAAATTTAATTTAAGAGGTCGAAATAGTTCTTGGTATTTTATCTATGCAGTATGAGCAAAATGTGTACTGTAATACATATACTGTTAAGTTAACAGTGATAGACACCAAATGTGCATCTATTGATGCTGCTCTATTGATGCTGCTATCAGTGATTTCTCCCAAAATCAAAACACAGGTAAGAGGAAAATAACAGCATCATGTATGTTACTCATAACCACGTTTATCATTTTAACATTATGTTTAAAACTCTATACTTTAAACCAATCAGAGATTTGGCTCGCAAAATGTTGTCAAATAGCGGATTTAGAATTTTGTTAAATTGCAAATTGCACCAGTGCCCACTCTCGTCCCTCCGGATCAGTCCCTATCAAATGGATCCGCATGCACAAAGCCGTGTTTTTGCACCACTGCTGTTAGTCGTGTCCGTATAGAGGACTAGGCCGCACATTAGCTGCCCTTCGCGATATTTTAGCTTAGCAAAATTAGCTGTACCTAGCCGTCGCGTAAACTGCTCCAAGCTCACAGATGTGGACATTGGACAAGCAGCGAAGGCATACTTGTCCTGTCGCTATCCAGCATTGCATAAACTCCTCGCTCCTCGCTGACAAACACACGGACAAACGGTATCGCCTTACATTACAGTGATCCGCAGTCTCTGGAGATGACAGCTCAGCGCCGAAAAACCATCACAGCGGAGGAATTTGTGGTTTTCCTGGACTGCCCTGACTTTCGCCGTGGATCCGCTCAAGGGCCGTGTACAACACTACACCGCGTCGAGTTTAGCAGCAGGCGCCATTTCCCGCCTCTGCTCCGAGTCTGTGCAGCAAATACCCGTATGGACACAGACACACCCCCTCCACACCAGCCACTGCACTCTGCATGCTCTGCAGGGGACCATGGGACCAGTCCGTCACCTGCTGGTTCACAAAGCTCATTCAAAGAATCTCTCATGATCATTATGGTATTTCAATTAACTCTATACGCATACAGTGTTACATGCAGCTAATCTTACAGAGAGTAAATTACAAACTTGATGTTAAAACACACGTTGAACTCTATATCATATCCAATCAGTCTTTAAAGATTGATTTGTAGACTTTTGGAGTCACATCATCACTTTCATACACTTGGCAACCATATTTAATAATTTCATATTACTTTTCATGACCAAAACCAAAATTTTATCACAAAAGCTAGTTTTATTTCCAGGTTCCCTTCAAGGCTGTTCTCAATACAAACATTAACAGTTCATTTATTTACAAGACATAATGGAAGAAAGTCTTCATCTTGTGGCCGTGGAAGAGTCAGTACTGTGTGCAACATTTGCACATCATGAAGAAACTCATCTAAGTATTGCTTAAGCATTAGTATTCTTTCCCTGTTTGATTACAGTTTCAAATACATGCATTAAACTGAATGACGAGTGTCTTTTACTGCAAAGTAGTTAATTAGTCAAACAAGTCACAGACAATTGAATTCAAAGAAGCCCATACTATTTCTTCATTAATGGAGAAGCATACCAAGGCTGGACACTTGGAGTGTATGCATGAAATGTAGAAAAAAACAAAAGAAAAACTCATTGTCCTGTTTGTCAGATGAGTGACGCTCTTATGAAGTGGATACATAATAGTCAATGTATATTATACATCTACCTTTGTTAAAACTTACAACCATAAGATCAACCACAACGTTGGCCACAATGGTGATCGTGAGATTGTTTCTATTTCAATGCCTGTTTCAGAGAAGTTCATGACATTGAACAGACTTTAAATCCAGCAAAGAAAAACTACCAAGAAATGTCTTGGTGATGGAGGAATATTGTTTTAGGAGCTCCAGAGGTTTACGTTCACAAAATATCAATAGCTTGATGTCTTTTTCCATAATCCACAGCGCGCTCCCCTTGCATGTCACGGTCTTCATCATCTAGAAACAAACAACACAACATTAAATCTGCTGTATCCCAAAAAGGTGTGATTAATATGGTGGTTAAATGACAGATGTCACAGAGGCAAGGAATAAACACCTATTAAATACCAGTCAAAACTTTGGACACACTTTTCCATTTAACTCTTAATAAGTCCAAACCTTTGACTCGTAATTAAAAAATAAAATGGAAATTGAAGCACACAAGCAGATTCACAATTGGCTTAAAAACACAAATCCTTCAAATACAGTATTTCAAAGCACACACAGAAACATGGACATGCACTTTACAACTAACTTTGACATAAACACAGTGGGCTAATTTTATCTGGTGGGCTAGATGTGGGTCAGATGTTGTAGGCACTGACAGGTGGTACTGCTAAAAAGAAGAGCAGGCAGGAAAGAAAATACTATCATGGGACACTCACAGAGCAGAACATGAAATAATGACGTGACTACATGTTGTATTGTAATACTGTTCTCGTGATGGAGTCAATGATTTTAGATATGAGGTAATGATGCTTTATGCAAAACCAATGTAATGTTGTAAAAATGGGGCTGGGTGCCTAAAGAAACAGTAGCATCACAACAAAATGCAGATAACCAAATTATTATTATTTTTTTATCATATTGGATTTAATAATTATGCAAATTTTGTCATAAATTTGCTATGATTTGCTGTGTGCTGCTACTGTGACTGAATGCACAAATGCAGGAGTGGAAGCAGGGCATGGGTGGAGGGAGGAGGAATGGTGGTGGACACAGTTTGGTCTAGTCCTCAGACCTGGCTCACCTTGAACGTCTTCCTCCCCACCATCACCATCCTCTTCCTCATTGTAGGCTAGCTCGGCCTGCTTGTCTGCCTCATACTCACCCACGTTGCCATCGTCCCCATTGTAGTCCGCCAGCTTAGAGCCGTGCTGCGGATCTACTGGGGACTCGTTCTCATCAAAGAACCGGCCTGCAGGAGGCAGAGAAGGCCTCATCAGGAAGGGGAAGGAGAGCGGAGGCTATTGTAGGAACTTTGGCAGGGAGCAGGGCGGGAGCAGTACAGAAATCAAACGGATCAACTTATATCAGCTCCTGGGATGGCTGATGAATTGATGATAGCTTTAAAGGTGCACTATGTAACTTTTTTGGTGGAGGTTCTGTCACCTGCTTGCTATTGCGTTTAACTTTATCTTCATATGAAAACGAACAGGTGACACCACCAGGTCAAGTTACAGGTCAGATATATGGAGAAGCAACCCCGCTCACAGTAAGAATGCATGTTTTTAAGGTATTTTACTAATGAAAATACCTGTAATTGAAGTTATGCATGTTAAGATAAGTTTAATGCCATAGTGTTGAACATTTCAGTCAGAAAATCATTCAGCAGTGTGCTATTCCATTCATCTGTTTGACTTATTGATTGATCAGGCCTAAGTACCCATTAATGCTATTTCGTGGGGAGAATTCTAGTAAGATGTGGGGAAAAGCTGGGAAAAGCCATTTAGTAAAGGGTGAACTGGGATCTTGTGAATGACACTTTCCAGATGCAAACAAGCCCTCCATGACCCCCTGATTTTAATGACACTTTAGTGAAAATGAAGAATTTTCATTAAAATTGTAACAAGCGGGTCACTTCATGGTGGACCTGGGTGTCAAGAGATATGCAGAGGATAACTTGAGCCAAATATAACACATTTAGGAGCTGCAAATACATTAAAACCCAACTCAGATAAACTGCAGCAGACACTCACTTTGTCTGTGGTGCATGGGTTCTGCCTGGTCTTTGGAGCGGTGAGCCTGGATGGGGTTGGGCAGCTGGGCAGGGTTAGCAGGCAGAGGAACAGGTTTTAGATGTTCAATATTCCCTGGGACATGGTCAGGAGCTGCCAACACGACAACACCAGCAGTTAGACAGCAAAAATAGGCACATTTACAGAGAATGCATAGATAGGTCAATTGAGAACAATCTGGATAAACAATTTGTAAATGAATTTGAATTTACCCTCCCTCTGCCCTCAACTCTCTCCCCACCACTGTCAATCAAAACACCACACTTCCCAATTTACACATTTTACTTTAATCTTATCTACATGTAATGGGACTTGGTGACTGACATTTCCCCATTGTGGTACAAATAAAAGGTTATATTTAATCATATCTCTACCACTATGTGTTGTAGAGAGGGGAGCCTGCAGAGAAATTATGCAAGTATGACCCCAAGAAAAGTGACGATGAGTCTGAATGCAGTACCTCTAAGCTGTCTCTGCTGCTCGCCCAGTTCATCTGCCTTGATAGCGGCCTTGTTGTCCTCTTCAAACACTACAGGTTTGTCTTGGTTACTGAAGCCCTTGGCAACCACGACTGGTGCCCGGGCGTCCTGCTGCAGTCTGGGCTGGTCCAGAGACAGTCCCTGAGCTCCAGGTCCATCCGCTGCTCCCACTCCAGGTCCCACAGGCGCCACTGCAGCCTCAAGGGGCTCATTCTGCTTCTGGGTAATGGCTGGTTTCTTTAGTGCTGCACATCAGAGTCAGAAACAATTAGACTGAATGCGAGTGAATGAGGTTTCAATATATTACAAACACAATTCTTACCAAATTGTACATTGTCTTCAATTTTTCCTACTTCACTGTCCTCAATACCAGGCATGCCAGCATCACTGCCAGGTTTACCCATTTCATCTGTAACATATTTATTGTATTATGTGTATATCATGATTTGGGGATTTTTTTATGTCACAACTTATCAATACCTCTACCTTTTAACTCTGGGACGCCATGCTGGTGAGTCGTCACTGGATGGCGCTCTGCTACCACCTCTACTCCGTCTTTACCATTTACATTCTTCTGATCCACTATTACATTCTGGAAAGATAAAGACATTGTATGAGACACAAACTATAGCACCAGAGAAATGCCATATACTTAACATTAATTAAGCTGTGATCAACTTATAACTCTTCACCAACCTGTCTTAATTTTGATGCTTCCACTTCCAAAGCCCTTTTCATTTCTTCATATTCCTCTTTTAGCTGTGCAATTTGCCGGCCACATTGTAAACTGCAAGAATAAAGCACAAACTTAGCTCCTGACGATAAATCGTGGGGCAGTAATCCGCTCTCAACATACCTCTCATACTCCAGCTTTCTCTCCAAAGTAGTACTATTTTTCTTCACTTCTTTGAGCTGCTCTTCTTGTTTCATAAACTCCTGCTTCAGTTCCTTTAGCTGCTCTGCTCAAAACACACACACACACACACAAATCAATTACAATTCAAAAGACATATCTGGTCTATATCTGTGGTACTGGTTATTGAATTTGTGACTGCCCTCTGCTGGACAAAACATACCTTTGAGTCTCTGGATCTCAGTCATTTGGGCTGTGACATCTCCTTGCAATTTAACCTGGGAAGAGAAAGGTCTGGTTTAGTCATTTCTGTTATCACTTAAGTCTCAGAGCAGTAAAGTATACCAAAAGGAGACTGGTTCGTCAGGTTTGTACGTGACATGACAACTCATCTCATAATGCATACCCACATTGCAATCCTCACGCATCAACCTTTATGAATTTGGTTCACTAGAAATGAAAGGCGCTAAAGACCCTCACAAATGCATCGGGACTACATTTAAGCAGCTGATCTAAACAATGAATCGGGAATACATATTTGTATTATTTCCAATTGTAACATTTCACATTAGCATAGTCACATTAGCATGTAATGGTTTAAGTCACAAGCCTTTTTATAGGAATCATTTTAAAGGCTTTTGACCATTCATAATATAATGAATATGCATTAATTAATTGCTATGGCAACTGTGATCATTTTTCATTGCTCTCAAATCAATAAATACATGCTCAGGATGGTTAAACTTCCCCTTCAATCTTCAGAAAGTTGTTAAAACATGACACTTAATTTAATATGCAATGCATTTACATATGAGGAGTATTTTAGCAAGACAAGAAAATTATGTTTGTTCTATACTTGTTTGTGCAAGGCTGGGCTGCAAATAGAAAGGAGTGGTACAACATTAACCTTTAAAAACAACCCATCTGTTTGATTAAAGAATATCAAACCAGGATACTTGATTCCGTGACAGTTGTTCCTGGCTAATTCCCACAGATAAATGTTTAACTTTATAAATGTATAACTGTATGGTGTCAAGGGTAAGAGCACACATTGTTAATATTAGCAATATCTGAATGCAGTCACACAAGGAATGCACTGCTGTTATCAACTATATGTCCCAGTGATACTTGCTGTATCTGTGGGAGTTCACTGGGCCTTTTTCTGCTGTATACAAATTACAAGCTAAACAAATGTCTTCCAGTTCATGTGAGTCCAGGTAATATGCAAAATCCAGTGTAAGCACGTTTAGGCAGAAAAAGGGATGGGACAAAATGAGATGGTACCTGCAAAGTAAATACATTACACCCAAAAACAACTAGAAGTATTTCAATAAAAGCTTTTGTTTCTTCAGTTACACAAACATCAACATAATTCATGTGGTCGTGTGATGTAAGAAATACCAGAGTGACAGTGAGCGACCATAATTAAAATGTGTGATGATATATAGTGGAGCACAGTGAATCTGTCTCTTATCTCATCATTGTAAGCCCTGTAAATGTCGAGTATTCTGATGAGGACCGGAGGAGACGGTCGAGTCATTCTTAAAGGCCTAATACTGGAAACTCCATCAGGGCACTCCCATTAAGTAAGTGACAAAGTTTAAGTGGACGTTACGTTTCAAACTTCAGTAATGGCTTAAGTCCTGATAAACCTGAGCACCTGATGCGCCTCAGCACTTGCAACGTAGCGCTGCTGTTTTTGATCAGTTCTTTAAACACAGCACCACACATCACACCGCTCCACTGGGAGATAGAGTTACCTTTTCGTCAGAGCACTTCTTGATGAGGGCCTCGCGAGCTTGTAGTTTGCCCTCCAGGACACTGTAGTCTCCGTCCTTCTGATCGATCTGCTTTCTGTGAGAGTCCACCTGCACCATGAGCTCCGAGTTGCGCTTTTCCAGGCGACTCCGCGCCGCGTCCGTGCGCTTCACCTGTGTCTGCACCTCGGCCAGCTCATCCAGCAGGCGGCCGTGCTTGTTGGACACTGTCCAGTAATTGAAAGACAGTATGGCGATGATTACCATCAAAAAGATCAGAATGAAGGACGGCAGGCGGCCTCCACGTCGATTTGCACCAAACCCCACCATCTCCAAAATAATTACAGCGACACTTTAGTCAGTACTGTCCCTTTGTCAAACTCATCAGTCTACGAGACATGCCGCGGGTCTGCGGCACTGACTGCAAATAAAACCCCCTACAGAGCACGACTGTTGAGCACTTCTCACATCTTCTCTGTCCTTCTCTCTGCGCCCTGCTTCCGCAAACTAGACATCTGTGCAGCCGATCCGCCCGGGGGACGTGGCCTGCCCAGCTGGCAGCGTTAGACACAGACGTGGACAGCTCCGCAGCACGACAGAGAGCAATGACAGGCGCTAGCTAACCTTAGCTCACAACTGGATAGTTTACGGTGTAAATGCTACGACATGTTCACAAACAGCTTCGATCACAAACGCAGACAGATGATATTTACCACAGCGTTAGCCTGTGTTGTACACTAAACCAGACTGTAGAGCTAACCTGTACACAGGCTAACCGCGAGCCGAGCAGCCAGAGGCACACTGTAACCTGAACACAAATGTGTGTTTCTCCAGAGGAAAAGCACGAAGCACACAATAACTCAACGACCCTTACAGAGGCGAAGACCCTTCACAGAGAATAAAAATCCCAGCTTCTCAAAATCTGATTTCAGATCTGTGCTTTCCGTAAAGTTCAACACCGACAACAACAGAGCTTCCGGTGTGTCTGTGTCAAAATAGTGCTGCAAAAATTACACAATAAAGCACAGATTTTTTGCTTGACAAATAAGTTTTAAGATCTATGAATATTTCTTTATTCTTAACTACGTTTTTGTAAGCCTAGCCTATGCCGCAAATATGGCTAATGCATAACAATTCATTAGGTTATTTCATTACAGGTACCTATTAACCATACCACATATGACAGTAGCCTAAAGGCTCACTGCATTATTTTAGGTTAATTAAAAAAAAAAAACACCACATACAAATCCATCGTTTATTATAACACTGATAAGAATTTTTACACAATGAGGTAAGTTAAATATTCCACATCTGCAATGTTCTTGAACCAGTGGCACTATAAATACACACCACCTCACCATCAGAAACAGCTCCACAATGCCTGAAAACAATGGCTTATGTGCCCAGACTGGTCAGTTCACATTTTAATACAAAACAAATTCCCTTTGTGTCTTTAAAGGAAAAGAGCAACATTAATCATTGTCTGGCACTCCAACATCCAACATAGCAGAAACTTATATATATTTATAGAGGAAATTCTGTAGAAAACATCCCCTGAGGGAGAAACATTCCTGTTTTTGATGAGAAAAATAGTCACTACAGACAGTGGCAGGCTCAGTCTCCGGTTTGCTACCATTTCTGCTGATGACTTGGCACAGTCTCTCTGGGCACTATAGAAGACGCATGGAGTCCATTTCAGGCAAACCGCTGCAATCCCACAATACTTTGCACTTTATCTTCCAACGCTAGAGCAGTTGTAAGTCACTGCTCGGACATGGAGTGTTCTGTGCTCCAAGTGGCTGCACGAGCGCCCTAAAATGACCCCTCGATGTTCTCACTGAGGTCAAAGAATAGTTTCTCTGCACAAAACGCCCTGTTCAGACGAAGGGGAGTCTGAGGGGTTGGTGGATGCGCTGGTTGTATGTGGCTGGGTGGGTGTGGGGCGGTGCAGAGAGGGAGAGGGGGAGGAGCTCAGAGCCCCACAGCTCTGGAGGTGCAGGTCCTCATAGGTATGCTTTCTGGGACTGCCTGTGATCCGCTGTGTCATCATCTACACACAACAAAGAGGTATTATTGAATTCGATTTCCCTTTAATTTCCCTTGTGTTTCAATAAAGTTTGTCTAAGTTTACAATACATTTACAATTGAGAAATTCTTAAGGAATTATAAAGCTTATTTTCCTCGAATAGCCAGGTTATGGGAAGTTGCTCTTTAAAAAAAGAGTTTAAATAGCAAGGGCATCGGTGGTAGTCAGCACAAGTTCTGGTTGGTAATTATAAAATTACTACTGATATTGTAGAAGCAGAAATATAGTGTTTATTTAAACTTAAGTCTGTCTTTCTTTTGCTTGTTTAAAATATAATAATAAATATAATGATAAGTTAAAAAGTGTTCAGATTCCATCCAGAAGAACACGCCAACTGACTGAGAAATGTTTAAACAGGGACTCCCACCTGTTATATACTATAACTGTAAATTAATATAAACTTTGTTAATGAAGCAAGTGTGAATGTAAGAGAGCCTTTATTCCCACAACACTAAATCTAACAGACCTACCTGGTCTATGACGTTGGCACTGAAAATAGCCTCCTCCATGTGTTTCTCATCGGATTTGATGACACACTTGATGTTGTTGACGACTTGTTGGACTTCAGGAGGTAGACTGCAGCTCGAGTGCTCCAGAAACTTGGCCACCAGGATCTTAGTGTCTTTGTACATCTTCAGATCGGCCAGAGAGTGAGGGCGCTCATGCGAGGGCTGAGAATGCATGCTTCGAGACTTCACCTGGAGGTCTGTTTTTTTGGCTTCTTTCTGCTGCTTCTTAGTGCTGGTGTGAGCGGGTTTGGTGCCCACTAAACAAATATCAAGTTAGTTCGTTTTTATACACAGAGTTATTTTGACAGAGTTCATGCCTTAGGTTTTGTAAGTGTACCTTGTTCTGGTGAAACTCGCACTGAATCCTCAGCAGGGTTGTTTGCTGCAGCACAGCCATAATTTTCACCTGAAAAATATAAATTCACAGACATTATATATCTGCTGCATTTTCTTTATTTATCTTCTGTTGTTTTGTTTTTTTCCAAACACACCTCCTGAGGTGGTGGAGCATGCGAGCGGGTCACTGGTGGAGCGGACTATGCGTGCCAGTTTGCGGTACTTCCTGGCTGCTCTCAGCCCTCGAGGCCGGTCGGGGGAGCTGCCCTGAGCTGAGGTAGAGGAGGTGGAGGGGGGCTGTGATGAAGCAGGAGACCACACACTGAAACATAATCGCGGGCCTCGGGCTCGAGCTGGAGGGGAGGGAGACAGAGACGGAGCCAGGGGGCTGAAGGCAGATGTCCCCCCAGAAGAAGCCACTGATGTGGGGGAGCAGGGCTGCGGCGGAGGTGACACAGTGACTGGGAGAGTCAGCTTACGGCTCATCATGCGAGCCTTTATGAGGGAGTGGGCCGAGGGCTTGGAGGGCTCCTCTGGTAACTGTTTGGCTGAGGCCAGCTCATCACTGATGTGCATGGCCCTCAGCTCTTCACTAGGGTGAGTGTGTTCAGTGGAGTCCTCCTGGTCCAGATTACTGTAGTTCCCAGAGGACCAGTCCGGAGAGCGCTCCTCTTGAGTGTGTGATGACTCGCTGTAGCCCGTGTCACTGGGGCGCGCCTCAGAGCACGCCAGGCCACGGTGACAGCGAGAGTGCCGTGTGCACAGCTCCAGGCTGGTGCAGCTGCCGTCTGTGGGAGCCGTGTGCAGAGTCCCGTACGGAGACAGGTCAGAGCCCTGCACCTCCAGAGAGCACAGGTCCTCAGAGGAGCATGTCTGGTCTGGATCTGCCACTTCAGACACCATCAGAGACGCACTGTCCACTGAAGCTGAGAAACATTTGAACAGCCATTAGAAACACACTATAAACACATAAACACACTATAAGGACATACATGGGGTATGATCTCTGCCTCTCTACTCACCTTGAGTGCTGAGTCCTGCAGTGGTGTTTCTGTCACACAGACTGGACCCTGTTGCCTGCTGCTCGATGCTTGTAGTGACCTGTCAGAGGAGAGCACACATTTATTATAACTGAAATATGTTAAAATGTAAAATAAACAAAAAAAGAAAAATCAGTCTTGTAATAATAATACTGAGGAATATCTCAGTTTGGTCACTAGAGGGCGCTATAACACCACAGCATTTTCCGCAATAACCAGTCAGCTTTACTGACACAGCAACAGTATCAACATCCCAGGAGATAAACCTTTACTTTTACAGTTTGTGAGGCAACAAAAAGTAAATAGTTTGTCATAATTGGTTTGAAAATTACAACTGGATTACAACTTTATGGACAAGTAGAACCTGCCAAATACCATAAGTAAAATAGTCCCATGACACACCTGGCTGGCTGGAGTCTGTCCCACCACAGACTCATAGGGAGGAGGCAGGTCTGTGGGATAGAGGGTCCCGGGACTGTTGATGGGAACCCCATAGATAGCACTGAAAGGAGAATGAGGAAAATCCAAATGCAATCCCCTGTAAAAAAAAAACAAACAAACAAAAAAAAAAACATGAAGAACAATATGTTAAAACAGCATTTTTGATGTTTTTTGTCAAGACACACTTTGTTTAAAACAGACTCGTGAGCTATTATCCATGTTATAATGCTGTTATCTCATACAACATGTCTGGAGTTGTGTTTTGTTTCATTCATTCTAAATGTGCAGGATTTTTGTGTTAAATGTGCCAATGAAAAAAAACTCTGGATATGTTTTTGATGAGGAAACAACATTATTACAACATATAGATCAGACAATAGTGTAATATTGGCTCTTTAAACCTGCATATTTCCCCCTTTTCCATCTCCTCCACAATGTAATGCATCCGTATTGTTTTATTAAAAGTGGTTTATCACAGTTTCATATGGCACCAATTAAGGGGGTGCAGTCATGCGCTCAGTCATATCTTTTAATTACCAACCCCTTCTCCTCTAAAGTGTCAGAGCATGAAATACAACCAGCACGTTTCTACCAATCATTGGCCTGTGATGATGTCATGACACCGGACCGCCACGCCATAAACGCCTCTACTGCCTTGTTTATATTTATGGCATAATTGACAAACAGATGCGGCTGTCTGCCAAATGGCTTCACCAGCAGCAACAACACGGCCTAGAGAAAATGGAGGAGATGATGAGGGAGAGGTCAGGTTTAGTGTGACAGCAGCTGAGGCCCATGAGGAGCTGTGGGAAAGCGTAATATGGTAAAGGACCTGTCATTGTAACACATTTTGAAGCATAATATATATATATATATATATATATATATATATATATATATATATATATATATATATATATATATATATATATATATATATATATATATATATATATATATATATATATATATATATATATATTGGAACAGAGAAAAATAATGATAAACAATAAAATTGAAACTACTTTACACAGCTGACACAAAGGCAGTTTAATCCCAGTAAACCTATTTGAAAACTTAATTTGCAAAAACAGATAAAAGTAATCAGATGATTGAAGTCTAGTCTTCATGAAAGCCAAATGTATTTTACTAAATATTATTCCATCTATTCTTGTTAAAATCCACATACATTATTGTCATTGATAATATCTGTAGAAGATGGTAACAAAAAGAAAAATACTTTTTGCCAATTTTTCAAAACTTAGATATGCTTTTGCAGTTGAACTCTTTATTTGGAATTATATAGTATTATTAAAACTTCCAAGCTGGAACAAATAAATAACAGAATAAACCAATAATTAGCCATAGATAGTTATTTATTCAACTCTCTACACCTTAAATTGTATCTTATTACATAAAAATGGCTAAAATCTCCAAGTACTTGCAAAGAAATTGTACACATGATAAATACTGAGCTTAGTTGATATAGTAATTATTGTGACAGGCCTAGTAAAGAGCATATATTATGTAAAATCATCTTTAAAGAGAGTAGTTATAACAGTGGTCTCTCATCATTAACTTACTCAGAATTATATTTAGAGTCAGGTAAATCTGAGTAATCCTGTATTGTCTTGCATTCAGGGCTTGTTCAGAAAATTATTACTTTCACCTATCCCCTAGCTCCACCCACATCTTTGTACTTACCTGAAATTACTCAAAAGGTATCGACTCTGGTCATACATGTAGTTTTCAAAACCCTAACCCAATAAAGACATTGCTTTCTACGATGAAATGTCACTATGAAGAAGGGGACTGTCAGTTTAGATCAAGAAGTCAATGGACAATTTTAGACCAATGTTATGGTTTACAGTTAGCAAAATGTAAAATAATCATGTTTGTATGTTACAGTTTCAGATCTGGGTGGAAGTGCTCTCACCTCTGTGCATCCATGGAGGGGGTGCAGGTGTACTCCGGGGGGTAGTATGGAGGAGGGGGGATGGGGGGTATAAACTCATCGAAGTCCAGAGTCTGGTGCAGGATGGTCCCGTGTGGGGTCATGCAGTCAGCGTTTAGGGCGCGTGCTCTGTGTGGCATGAACTGGAACAACAATCAACAGATAAATGATTTTGCATATATTGTAACTGTGGAGTATTTGTACTCTTGGCCACAATTGTTGTCTTATGTGTGCACTATTTGAAACTTTACTGGAGATGTAATTACTTTGCCAGGAATGTTACAAATTATAGCATTAATCTTAGTTATCTTGCATTAGTAGAGATAGTTATCAGCTGGGTTTCCTCTCCACAGTGGGTTCTGATCTCTAATTTGGCCAGAAGGCAACAAGAGTTTGTCTCCATTTAATGCCATACAGCAGAACATTCCAGGCCAGGCAATAGCATCTCAATGGAGACAAGTCAGAGGAAGACATACCCTCAACCAAAAGGTGTGTGTTCTCCAGTTCACCATATTCTCTTAAGTGGTCCAAATGTCCTGGGTCCTGCTCTAATCTGCTGCCTCTGCTGCAATTGACTCTTCTAAATTTACTCAGGTAAATAAAAGGTGAACACCTCTTGTGGTAAATGGGAAGCGCTCCTGGGGAAATGTGGCGGACAGCTGCAGATAAGACTCACTCTTTTATCCTTTAACATGGTCTGAATCTGAACAGCTCCATCCAGACACTGCTACTGCTCTGTTCTGTACATGTTTACACCGGCTTAACATTTGGGGGAAATTTGTAACAAAAAAGACCACTTAAAAAAAGGTTATACTAGAATTTGACTATTTGTAATATAAAGTGAATTAAGGCAAAAGTGAGTAATGTACAGTATATAAACAGATGCAGCCTCATAAAATTTGCTTAATATTGTTTCCTAGCCATATATTTTATTGATAACTCAAATAAAGGTTAAATGGGAAGTGTTACTCGAGAAACAGAATTATTTTTTTATTTTTTTTTTTTGAATTTGGTAAGATTTAGTGCCATCTCAGCATGGGGCCACAGACCAGCCAAAAGGGGTTAGTGAGGGTTTACAATAATCATTTTATCATGTGCCAATGAAAGATTTGGAGCTCGGAAATGAATGTCAAAAACTGTGCATTACTGATCAGATGTGCAAAAATGTCTATAGAGGTACTTTACCGAAATAAATGTTGAAAAAGGAAACAAAAAAAACAATACTAAGTTTGGTGTTTAGCATCTAAAAAATCTCCCTTGGTTTAACATTAGGCAAATAGAATATTCTGTGATGTGTGATGCCACATTCTCAAGCTTTATGGGGCCTTTTGATGAACTAAAACATACTGTCCAAATCATTTTACAAGAACAAAGTAGATTTACTATTATGCTGTGTATGTAATGGTTTTACTAATGAGTTTAATCCAGTTCAAGTCAGTTAAAAGTCCTACATTATGCAAAATTTACTCTTGTAAGTTTTAAGATGTGTTATAATGTGATTACCTCCTCAAAAACATACCTGGAGTTTTGTTTCATTCATCACACCTTAGTCATTTATTATTTGCCAATCTACATCTCCAAAGTTGATATCATTTAGTGATAGTTTTTAAGTTTAACAGCTACTTTTTAAGTTTTGTTCACTAGAGACTGAAATGATCAAAATTATTCTAGTGATATGATTTACCACATTAAATCATAAGCTGGAACAGGGTTTGTGTATTAATGATTGAAACAAAACACAACTCCAGGTATGTTTTGGACTAGGAAACAACATTATAACATAGATCCAAATATAGCGTAATATGGGCCCTTTAAGCTTTGTTGTGGTATAACAGTAGCTCCACTTGACCTCCAGACTAAAGCCATGTTACAGAGAATAAAGAGAATGATTCATGCTGGGCAGCCTCACCATCTGCAGCACGTCCGTGGACACCATCTGCATACAGCACATGGCCGTGGCCAGAGCACACACGATGGTGGAGATCACGTTCAGAGCACACACACTAAACAGCAACTCCTATGGGGAAAACAGCAGAAAACAAGTCAGTTAACAGCCCTGTGCACTGGCCATATTTATTTTATTTTAGCACTTTATTATCATTTAACCTTAATTAGCCTTAATAAAGCATGACCAAAGACTTAATTTTAAATCAACAAAAGGTTTATGAAGGGTGATTCAGGCTGATTGGTTGGATAAATATCATTGGTCGAGCGGTCAGATCCACTATCCCACAGGTTGGGTGAGTGACTCCAGCTCTCACAGATGAGCGCTCTTGTTGTGTCCTTGTGCAAGACACTTAAGACTCCTCTCCTCCAGTGTCTGTGTACACTGGTGTCTGAATGCTTGAGTGGTTCCTTGATGTAAAGCGTTTTGAATGACTTGAAGGTGGAAAAGCTCCATATAAAAATGTAACTAGTCTTGGTCTAGTCTGACTCATCAGCCGGTTTCACTTCGCAGAAACCATCTGACCTTGCAGCATTAGGATTCGTTCGCTTGACTCTAGGCAGGTACTTTTTTATTTAACCAATTGCTGCTATTTGGTCGTGACGTATATAATGCACCGCTAACAGGGTTAACTGGTATATTAAGCTTTTCCCAAATCCCGTAGGAAGAAGGGCAATAACGTCTTTCCCCTTGATAAAATTCACCAAACATTCTTTTTGTTCTGGCCAACACAGAATGTACGGCTCTTCGCTGACTGATTGGTGTCTGGACTCGCATGTCCGGCTTGCAAACCATCTAGTATATTCTGATTCCTGACCTAGTCGCTGGAGAGAAATGAAATTGAGAGGAGGCACTAGGTGGCACCAGCCTGGCTAGTCTTGGTCATGCTTTATTTTTAAAGTTAATTAATACAAAACAGTATACAGTATATTTTAATTTTATTTATTCATTCATTTGTTCATTCAAACATCACATTCCCATTAAATACCACAGAAATAACTCTACTGATATCTACCACATCGAGCCACATAATAATTCTTTTTTTTTTCAATGTTGAAGATAGAAGATGGTCAAAAACACTACACATACTGGACATAAAGCAAAAAAGCAATATTTGTGTATATAAGGCAAATAAGACCTTGTTCATTATAAAGTGCCCAGCCTAAATAAACAGCCCATAAAGCATCATTAACTCAACAGAGAGAAAAGCAGAACTACAGAATGAGCAGAAGCCACTGTTATAGGCCTATAGAGCAGGGACAGACTCTGGGAATCAAAGACCATGACTGCAGCCCTTTGATGCTGCCATATGCCATTATTATTAAAGCTCTAATGATCAGCTTTTAGTGGCTTTATTTTAGAGCCATTTCCAATATGTATCATCAAATAAATGAGACTGTAATTGCCATGGGCTTTTGCAATGTCCTTTCCAGAAGAGAGCTGCATTTCCTGGAAAGAACTCTTGTTATTACATTGAGCTGATGAAAGAACAAAAGGGACAGTTGTTTTGATGGTATAGTTTATTACTGGGTCTGGTATAATGCATATTTTTACTCCTTGAAATGAACTTCATCTGTGCACTCTCTTTGATAAATACAGTGAATAATTAATATCAACTTCAACACTTTATTAGGTCCCCGAGGGACAATTGTTACACAGTCAGTGATATTATTACATGAAAAAGTTAATTTAAGTAAGTATTTGAATGACATTAAGACGTTTTCAATATGCATCATCAAGTTACTTTTGAAAACTGCACTCTAATCTCATATATTTCAAGACGCCTCAAGTGGCTAGGTCATTTTTTTGTTCAGTATGACTAACTAACTAACTAACTAACTAACTAACCAGTGTACAAGTTATACTAGTAGTTTCAGGAGCTAAAAGAAGAAAAACATTAAAATAATAATTCTCAAACAGCTCCGTTCAAACCACAAAAGATACAGGACTACATTCATGCTCCATACAAGTTTACAACTCACCCTTTTGTAAAAGATAACCCTATGTTATGTCATGTATATACTATATTTCTCTATTTTTATTTTTTCTTGTACATATACAATATCCTATTTGATACCAGTGTCTTGCTACCTCTGCTACTTATTTTAAATATATTATTACCATTTATATTTTTGCTCTTTATAATTATAGTTATAGTGATGTGTGTGCTTCTATGTCTAATTAATTTCCCTTGTGGATCAATAAAGTTTGTCAAAGTCTAGTTTGACACATCAAATCCTAATGTAGATGTATAATCTAGTATCCTCCCTGCATTATCCTCTCCTCACAACTTTGGATGCAACTAATCAGTAGTTTTTCAGTGGTTTCCAAAACAGAACAGAACAAAATCTTACAAACATTGGGAAAAAATGTTTCAGGTGAGCAGGAGATTCACTGTCAGCAAGTTTCTTACACAAAGCAATAAAAGAAAGCTCAAATTGTGTTTTCATTAAATATTGAAAGCTTGAGGGTTTCTGGTAATCTCTTTGCTTTGAACAATAGTAATTTTAGTGGCCCCCATCTGTATTAAATATCGGCCTATATGTTGGGATCTCATCTGAAATGCAGCAACACGAAGAGTGGGTGAGGAAAAACGTTTGTTTTTGAGCATAGAACAGCTTTAAACTCTGAATGACAATCTTTACTGTACTCAAGTAAAAACTGTAGCACAAGTGGATATTTTTTACTTATTTTCACTACATTTGAGAGCAGGTATCTGTACTTTCTACTCCACTACATTTTTGAACAGGACTGAAAAGTAAAAGTATTTGTGTTATTGTTTGAGACCTGCTGAAAAGCCTGAGGGGTTTATTTTTAACACATCTTGTAGTTTGAGCAAACAAAAATATACAAAGAAAGGCAAAGAAAAACGGAGTACCTCTTCCATCATTCTCGTGACATCACGATTTTTATCACTATTTCGCCAAGCCTCCTGTCCATGAGAGTCTCAAGGACACAGCCGAGCCTGTGTAAAAGCCCCGTGCTCTTCAGGAGCACTGTGAGGTCTGATGGAAAACCCCTCTGAGCTTTTATATCACCTTCACACACTGGACCTGCACAGGCTCAGGCTCTGTCATGCCATTTAACACAACACAAAACCAGCAGGTGACTACACTGTATGTTACCAGTGGTCGAAGAAGTACTCAGTTTTATTACTTAAGTAAAAGTACAGATATTGTAGCAAGTAAAGTACTACTTAAAATGTACTTAATGAGTAAAACAATAAAAGTATTTCACTTCAAATGTAGTGATTTTGATAAAGAATTTAGTTAAACAGAAACAAAAAAATAGCTGTTTTTATTTCTATATTTTTGTTTGCTCAAACTACAATGACTGTGTTAAAAATAAACCCCACAGGTTTTTAAGCATATCCCAAACAATAATAAAAAATACAAACAACGATATTGGAGTGCTGCACTGGATCAAAACTTACGCATACAGGTGCTCATCAGACCAAAGGGCTTGAATTCTTGTTGAGAAAAAAGGTTGTATCTATTAATTGTCATGCCGATGTGACAATTAATAGATACACCGCAAATCAGAAAGCCTCTGCCAGCCTTTTTTCCACACAACAATAATAAAAAATATTTTTACTTTTTAGTCCTGTTCAAACATGTAGTGTAATAGAAAGTAAAGATACCTGCTCTCAAATGTAGTGAAGTAAATAAAAAGTATCCACTTTAAGTAAAGAACCGGGACCGGCCTCCTGCTGGTGCCCAGAATCAGGACTAAACAAGGGGAGTCAGCGTTTCAGGTTCATGCAGCTAAAACCTGGAACAGTCTTCCTGAACATGGGAGACAGGCTCTTCTGTGACGCTGTTTAAATCCAGGCTCAAAACATTTCTCCTCACTCTTCTCTCCAATTTATGTCTCTCTTTTTTAATTTTAATCTTCATGATTATTTATGTTTTGATTTGTTTTTATTATGATTTTAATGTATTTCTTATTCTGTAAAGCACTTTGAATTACTTTGTGTACGAATTGTGCTATACAAATAAACTTGCCTTGCCTTGCCTTGCCTAAAGTATAAATAGCTCAAATATATACTTAAGTATAGTTACCATGGGAAATATTGTTGCAACCACAAACAGAAGTACTGAGGTATGTATTATATGATGTATTGTCAAGATAAATCTAAATGGTTGTTCTGCAGCTTTTGAATAAAACTATGAATATCAGCTTATTGTTTATTATATGAAAAGCAGAGAAAAGATTTAAGAAAAATAATGAAAGAAGAAACTTGGTGTGTAATCCTCGTTTTAAAGGATAGAAGAAAGTGAGATTTCTCCATTAACAGTATGCCAAAGGTCCTATATTACACAAAATTAACTCTTGTGAGTTTTAAGTCATGTTATAATGTTCTTACCTACTCAAAAACATACCTGGAGTTCTTTTTGGAGTTTGTTTTGAGATCTGTCTACATCTCCAAAGCTCAAAATGCTCTGTTCCACCTTTTGATTTAATTTAGTGGTAGTTTTCATGTTAACGGCTACCTTTTACCTTTAGTTCAGCAGAGATGGCCAATCCATGGCTGTCCAAATAATTTAACTGAAGGAGTTTAACACAGTGGAGCACTTCCTGTATTACCCCATGACATCACAAGGTGGTGTTGAGAGAAGAGCAAAGCCTAATATGCAGATTTTATGTGTTAAACATGTATGAATGAAGCAAAACACAGCTCCAGGTATGTCTGTGATGAGGAAACAACATTATGTCACAGATCAGGCAATAGCATAATATGGGTCCTTTAACAAGTCACATCAATAAAATCAAATATATTCCCGACTGTTCTTTGTGCTCTTGGTAAGGTGCTAATGTTGTGCTTTTATTCGAGCATTGATGCCATAATGAGTGCTTTCTCCCCATCTGGTTGTCAGATCACTTTTAATGTTGAAAAATCGCTTTTGAACTAGATACATGTTGTGTTGACAGATTGCTTATCTTGACTCAGGTCACATACATCATCATAAGAGACTGCACTCAAATGTACAATGCTAACAGTTTAACACAACGCCGATTCAGTTACAGCTACAGACTGTGAATACTAACTGGGCACTGCAATGTGTTTGGCATTACAGAGGCAAATTGACTTATTTTCATGCGAAATATACTCCACAGCATCAGTCGAGAGAACGCAGTGGTAGGCAAAATCTCTTTCTGTAGGATGAGTTTGTATAAGGACATAACACTATCAAATGTGTATACTACATTATTAAAGATCCCCTTGTGAGCTTTTAGTCATGTTAGAATGTTGTTACATCTTCAAAAACATACCTGGAGCTGTGTTTTGTGTCATTCACACATGTTTGAGTAATCCTTTATTATTAGTCCCCTTACGTCTCCAAAGTTGAAAATTGTCTGTGTGATGTCATGAAGCGGTAATTTTCGAGTTAAGAGCTTTAGTTCAGTAGAGATGGGCAATTCCAGGGCTGAAATTATACAAATGATTCTAGTGAAGGTGTACGGAGTTTTAAAACACAGTGGAGCACTTCCTCTTTTATTATCAAATGACAAGGTGGAACAGTGCGCTTTCTGTTTGAGAGAAGAACTGAGCATAAATGTGCATGGTTTATGGGTTAAACATGTGTAAATGAAACAAAACACAACCCCGAGTATGTTTGTGGAAATAACATTATAACAGATCAGAAAATAGTCTAATATGGTCCTTTTAATCATCACTTATCCATACAGAGCAATATATGTAAATAGGAGCATAATAAGTCCTTCTGGGGAAATGAATGTAATCTGTTTGACATGGACGCTCACAAGATATTTAACCTCCTCTGGATTCAGCGGCGCCCGTGGCAACAGTGGGGTTACCAAACAAGGTCGTGCACCCATCCCATTACAGGAAATCACAAATTATAGCCCCTCTCCCTCGCAGCTCCCTGTCCACAGCCCTCAGCTCCAACGCGAAAACATCTGAAGGATTTACATGCAGACGAAACAACGGCTAGTGGTTTGGTACAAATGAACGTGAATATGCATGAGATGTAGATTTCATTTTCAAAAAGTACTGCTCAGAAATACAGCGTTTCTCTGGAGAATGGGGTTTTATGCCAAGAGCAGAGGATTCATTAAGGGCAAAGCAAACTCAAGGGAGCAGGGCCAAGCCATAACTCAATACATCGGACACTTTTAATAAAGGTTTACAGCACTAATTCCCACTTCTACACCATTAAAATGACAAGGCTCATTTTCTATCACTGTAAGTATTTAATTTGTCATCAAAAACCACAGTCAATAGCAGGGGTTAGTTCTTAGTTTAGAGTTTGATGTTAATGTAGGAGGTTCTGTTCTTTTCTTTAAAAACAATGTCTGTTGCTTGATTTGAAAGACCATAGTGTTTTCATTTTCAACATTAAAAGATTCAATAGACTGATTACAGGGCTAATAAGGTTATATCTATAATATTGATCTGGAATGGCACTTGTTGAGCTAAGTTTTTGGTGTAAGTCATGCTCAAACTAAACAATGAGAGCCGTAGAGGATTCTCGTGAACTTGAAAACTCAAAAATCACAACAATCCAAACCAGGGTTAGGTAAAATACTACTACTAAATTTGATTTATATAGGACACTCAAAGACGCTTTACAGAACAAATATTAAAATGGTCAAAAGTGCAAAAGACAAATAATAATACAATAAAAACATAAGATTAAATGCTATTATAAAACAGATTCATATCTTAATTATGACCAAATAACCATGTTTATGATGATTCCAACCTCGAGTACCATGTGTTTGTGATGAAATAGTTTTCGTTTTGGCTGAGCATCCCAACAACCCCCTACATTGATAAGATTGTCCCTTTCTGCTGCCCTGTACACTCTCGTAGAGCAGACTGCTGGCTCCTGATAATCTGCAGATCTCAGACCTGCTCAGCCCTGATGCTGCAGCTGAATATTAAGAGCTGGGCCTCTGGGGAAAGACAAACGCTGGTGCCACTCTCCTCACCACAGTCAATTAATCTGCTCCAACACAAAACTGTCGTGTTTATGTAATTCACATCATTTACATCATTTGAAAGTTTGCATCAAAATACAAGCTTCAATTTCAAATGGATTAATGTATGTTTACAGCTACTGACAACAAGTAACAATGAGTGCGCCTTTATCAATATTTTATTTTGTATTAAAAGGCATCGTCAGAATGGTGGAAAAGTTATTCCAATATTCACGATGCAGTCTGCACCATCTCACTTTATCTATATGGGTATACTAGTGACTAACTTTTTAGTGAATTGAAGTCTATCCTTCGTGTATCATTAAATATTGATAAAAACAAAGTGCAGTCAGTCTTTCAAACTCACAAATACAAGGGATGAATCTGAATGAACGAGATTCTCATAGAAGCCAACAGGGGAGTATTTTTACTTTAAAATTAAATCTGAAATGCTTAAAGCCAATTCTTAATCTCTGTATCCCAAAGCTCCTGGCTCTAAGTGCACTGAATCTGTAAAATAGTTTTCATTAATAATTTCAGTCTCAGTCTATTATGACCTCAGTCACAAAGTGTGGTGATCTCCTTTTACATCCACAGCTGTTAGGACAGACTGACAGATGTGCAGTATCTTCAGGCACCTCAAATTATGTCCAACACACACACGCGCACACACACACACACACACACGCACACACACACACACGCACACACACACACAAACATTCACAAGGGAAACAAGACCACATGTAGTGATGGTGGTGGCAATGAAACAGCAGAATAATGCTGCATTGCCTTTAGCATTAAACAAATTCAGTATGCAATAAAACATTCACCTGTTGTACTTATAGATTTTAAATACTACATTTAATATTTCTTGAGTGAAAAGTTTGAAAATGTATGGAGTTTTAGGTGATATTACATAAGCCTATTGTTTTATTGCTTAATGGAAACGGGGACAAGCAAAATTATTGTTGTCATATTGTTGTGATATCAGTACAAGTATAAATAATATTCCTTACCCCGAATTTTGCATTTGCACATTTTTCATTTAGATATGGTTGATCAACAATACAATATAGAAGTACTAAGCCTCATTCTTAAAAAATGAGTTCATTATGATTTAAGTCTTTGTTCTTTGTTTGTTTGTTTTTCCTTAAGCTCTAGGGTTATGAAGTTGCCCTAAACAAAGATAAATTGAATCAAACCAGTCGAAACAGTATTAAGATAAAAACACACACACAGTTTTCCTCTGTGGGGCCATGAGGACTCAGAGTGGTCCCGGCACAGGCCCACTCACCTTGAGGCGCAGGCGGATGGTGTTGCAGTCTCTCAGGGGGTTCAGTTTCAGCGTCTCTCCCAGGTTATTACAGCTGGAGCTCTGCTGCTGGAGCTCACAGCACACGCACACGCCGTCACTGTCAAACTTCAGCTGAGATGGGGGAGGACGGGGAGGAGGGGGGGGAGGAGGAGGGAACACACATCCGCACTCAAACATCAAGACAACGTAAAGAGACACACAACACAAGACACACCATAAAAACAGAAAAGGAGAGACAAACAAGAGGGACAAGAAGGCACAAGTTAGATCTGAGTTTAACACAATGCAATACGTGAGACAATAAGCCTGTCCTGATCAATACTATATCAAGTTATCGTTCAATACATTTTAGATGGAACAATCATTTTTGGGGGTCAGTATTTATCGTGGACAGGGGTGTGCAAAAATACTGAAATATCAATATATCGTATTGCTTAATTTGATGATACAGTATAGATATCGTGGGCTGCTGTATCAATATATCGCCAAAAGTCATTTTTGGTATATTTTAGTCATTATTTTCTGTAAGAACTACAATTACGTTGACATTTTCACAGCTTTGATGAGTAAAATGGGTGATTTTTTATTAACTTTGCACAAACTTAGTGGACTTAGTATCAAAGACATGATTTAGTTTTTTTATTTTTCATTTGATATATATCATATCAAATCATATTGAATCGAAAGTGCACTCTATCAAAAAACATATCGTATCATCACCTATGTATCGAGGTATGTATCGTATCGGCAACTTGTTAATGATACCAAGCCTTAATTGTGGATACTTTTTCTTTGCTCACGTGGGGAACTTTTACTTATTTTTCTCTACTACAATAAAATTTTATCTTAAAAGAGTTGAATACTTCTATGACACATACTATGATACAATTAAATTCTGTTATTTGTTTATTGTTGTTTGTGTTTTTTAACCACATTTGGGGATAATTCTACCTTAGGGTTATTGTGTCAGTGGCATAAATTTGTTTCAATATTATCATTTATGGCCCATCTTTTCTTCAGCAATATACTGAACTTCAAATTTTGTTATCGTAACAGGCCTATAAAACAGTCTTACAAGTCATTTCAATTCAATGTACACTCTAAGAAGTAAAAATAGATGAAACATAGATTACCAGTCTTACCAGCTTGTCAAAACAATGCTATTTACTGCTTTTTTAAAATAAAGAAATACAATTAACATTATGCAGAATTAAGCTAAGCATTTTGGCCTGGCCCTCCACAATATTTTCATGTGACCCCATGGGAAAAATAATTGCCCACCCCTGTCCTAGAGCAATAGTGTGAATGAAAGCAAAGTATAAATAATACAATCAACTTCATAACACGTCCTTAAATGTCCTTTTCATCACGAGTAACGTTCAGTGTTCTCAATAAATAGACGATAAGACAAAAGCTAATATGTTCAAGGACTGTTTTTCAAGAGTGAATTAAGTTTCAATGGGTGGACAGTTGAGGTTAGATTAGATCGGAGCAGAAGTGTGGGTCACAAATAAAGCATCAGCAGCATCAACTTAGCACAGTCAAATCATAGCTCATCTCATACGCCTCATCCCAGAAGAGAACTGGCTCTAAATAGGCTGTATACGCAGTGTTTTATTACTTTTTGTGAGGCAAATTTCAGCATAAAAGGATGATATGTGTTCCATAAACAGTGTAATTACTGATGTCAAGAATCATTGGTTAATTACTGAAAGCTAAAGTTCTGTTTTATCTGGCTGTTTATATCACAATAGCGAACCCTCAGTGTTTATAAAGCTGGTCACTTACTAGGACGGTGATACAAACAAAATAAAATAAGATTTCAGTGTTGTTTGGCCATGATGTCAGTAATCAAGAATAATGGTAAAAAGGTTCTTCTCACAGTAAATACAACATTAAATTTGATATTGTAACATCCTAAGAGCTTCAGTAGTTGAATAGAGCACTTTTGGACGGATGTGAAAGACCAGAAACAGACCAATCCAGTTACCGGAACAGATCACTTTGTACTCTATTAAAACAATGTCATATTTTTCAGACATCCAAAATATTTCCTGGATCCATTACTGAAAGATACTGAGAAATAAGACAATGCATCCAAGAAAATGAGGGACCAAAGTAAGCAATGGATGGTCAATAAGAAATAGTATATTATAGGGATGTAACGATATCCAAATTTCTCTGTTCGATATTATGATGATATGCATTTCATGGTACGATATTCTAGAGAGGCTGATATAATTGTAGATAGGGCTCTTTTTTGTTTTTAAGATTTTTGGTGTGAGTTAATGCTTCCATAATCCCAAGAATTCAAGTAAAAAACATATCTCTTCATATTGTCTTGAATGGTCAAGAATAAAACTTTGACTGTGTCTTTACAACTATGAAAATAAATGCATTTAAAGCCCATGTAGTACCCAATATTTCTAAGCTTTAACCCATGTTATAATGTTGTTATCCCCAAAAACGTAGTTGTGTTTTGTTTCATTCACACACGTTTGAGTAATCCTGCATTATTAGTCTGTCTGCATTTCCAAAGCTCAAAATGCTTTGCTCCATCTAGTGATGTAGTAGTAATTTTTTAAGTTAGGCTACGTTTATATGATGATGGTCTGAACAGAAGATGCAAAAGTGAAGTTGCCTCTTCACTTTTTCATTCCACGTTTAGACGAGCGTTTTTGGGAAGAAATCTGCGTGCATACGGTGATGCAAAAGTGTGTGGAATACGGCTGGGTATGCATGCCAGGTTTCTGTGTACTGTATGTATGTGACGTAAACACGTACGCGACGTGAGCAGATCTGACCAGAGTTTTGATTCTTGGGCAGTATAGACAGAAAAGCTACAGCAGAGCATATTCAACTTTTCCACTTTAGAGGGTGTTTTCAGATTTTTGTATTTTTAAGCCCTAAAAATGCCGTTATCGTCTAAACAAAAGGCACTTCTGATAAAATATTTTGTCGTTTTTAACCGTAAGCGTTCTTGTGTAAACAGACTCTCAATAGCAATATTTTTTGTTCAGTAGAGCTTGGCAATTCCAGGGCTGAAAAGATCCAAGTGATTCTAGTGAAGGTGTATCAAGTTTAAAACCACAGTGGAGCACTTTTTGTATTACCACATGACAGAGTTTTCATCCAAAATATGCAGGGTTTGTGCGATAACTGTTAAACATGCGTGAATGAAACAAAACACAACTCCAGTTATGTTTTTAATGAAGAAATAACATTATAACATAGATCAGAAAATAGTGTAATATGGGCCCTTTAATCTTAGTGTTTGACTCTTTCCAACAAAGAAAATAGACACATACAAGATTGCAGTTTGGCTATAACAGTAACATAGTGCTTCTTTATTCCTGAATATATAAAGGTTTGGGTCATTGAAGTCAGAGTGAAGACAAAATTGATATATTTGCTATAGCTCAAAGTAAAATAAAAGAGTCGCCTGCATGATATACTTGATATAGTGGGCTGTAAGTGTCTGCAGCAGAGCGCATGTCGACAAATTGTCCCAGTTTGAGTAAAAGCAGGACGTGAACTGAACAAAGCAGGGTTAATTACATCGGGGAGTCGAGAAGGAGAATATTTCAGTGAGGAGTTTAGGAGGAGTCTCGTGGGAGGCACATAAAGCATCGTCTCACTATACAATCTATACTGTGTGAGCATAAATGTATTTCAAAGCATAGATAAGGCTTATGTATATTGGGGTTACCAGTGAACTTTATCCCAAAATCATCTTAGCATCTCATTATTGAAATGCATTCTGTTTTCATTGTCATCCAATCAGTGGCTGTTAGAAGAAAGGCTTATTAAATACTTTAGTCAGATAAATCAGAATTCTTACCCCCTGAATATTTTTGAATAGTAAAGTAGGTCTGAGTTATATCTAAATGTAAATTGGAAAACTGTAAACTGGGTGAATGGGGTTATCACAGTTAAGTCAGGCACAGAATTAAGGTGCTTATTACTTAGCAAGCTACAAAGTGGTGAATCCTGTAACAATAGACTATATATGTGCAGTATATATGCTCAGCTTCTAATGGATAAATCATAGTTCATATTGATACTTTGCAGCTGATGACATCAACATTCTCTGGGGGTGTGAAGCTAATTGTAGGCACTGCTCTATTAGAAGCTCTGTTACTCAAGTTAGACTTTAATCTGAGCTTTATTTTAACACAATCTGACCAGAAAAAGCTTACTTGTTTGGAATTAGATCTAAAATTACAGTCACTCTCACTTTTTTGTTGAAAATCAAACTCCTAAACAGTACCATGAACGCTTATATTGATCATTGGCTTGTGAAAATGCGTTGTTTAAATCCATTTTTAAATTTTTTTTCTTGAGTTTTCAGACTCTTTTAAAACATCGTTGGCAGTGTTTGCTAATGTGTTGAACATTCTGCCAATAGAGATACACGTAGAACACCCCCAGTGCGATGCCACTACAAAATATCATATGTTCAGTTATAAGTGAATTTATCAAGCCATCCATCCAATCATATATATATATATATATTTTTTTTTGTATCTACAATTAGAATGGAAAAGGTGATAATGTTACTTAAACATCTTCCATACTGTTAATGACATTTTCATTTATACATTAAAGGTGCACTGCGTTTTTCTGGTTCAGGGTCCATCATGCTTGTCTCCGTGGATATGTTATTACATTGTGTGGAATGTTCCATGGTATGACTTTAAACATCCATCTTGCATTTATTCATTCCAAGTGTTTCTATTGCTTAAAAAATAGAATAATTTGTTCCGTGAATAGAGGTGACTCTCCACAGATCTGACTTGTAATGTATCGTAGTTCTAGACAATTCTAGACAAAGCAATAACATTTCCATGGCGACATCAGGTGGTGGACCCTTCAACAGAAATATTATGCAGTGCACTTTTAAGATTTAACAAAGACGTATTATCCAATAAATGACATTACAGGTTATAGTTAAAATGATCAAGATCCAGGATGTTTTTGCCTGCATTTTATTACACTCTTCAAATGAACAGACTCGCAGTAGACTGGCGGATCAGAAATAGATTTATATGTAGTCATTCTCACCAGCTGACAGTCCTCCAGGGAGTTGACCAGTTGGGCATTTTGGCACGACAGAATGGAGCCAGCCAGGTTCAGCATCACACAAACGGCGGACAGCAGCATGAAGAAGGTGATCTGAGGCACAGAGAAGATGCAAACACTGTCACTTCATGTGGCAGTAGGATAAATACACAGGCAGTATCAGAATACGGGAAAGGAGACATGACAGGAGGGCAAGAAACCAGCGATTTATAAAGAGATGAAGTTGTATGGTATTTTCACTGGTGTAAAAGTGAATGATTGGCAGTTGGCGAAGACCTTCAGGGCTAAACAATCCTGCGAGAGAAAACCAAACAAAAGAAATGACATCTCTGTAAATGTGGGGGAACAGTGAAAACAGACTTAGAAATGTAGGCATCATAATATTTGTTATTCTGTCATTACAATAAGAAACTGTTATGAAATGGAGATTAAAAAAAAAAAACTGCCACAAATTAAACTTGTCAAACTTAGTGGATATTATTCAAAGTAAGTCTTATGTTTTATTTAACTGAAAAAGAAAATTAACTTGCGGAGGCACAACAGAAATGGCTCATAATGGGTGCCCAGCTTTTAGTGATGAGTATAACACAGAGTAGAGCTATTTTCTGATTTATGTTATAACGTTGTTTCCTCATCAAAAACAAAGCCGGAGTTGTGTTTTGCTTCATTCATTCCTGCATTAAAGTCCTGCATATTTAAGATGAGTTCATGCTCCAGTTTAACTCCATTAACCTTCAGTAATCATTTGGATAATTTCATCCCCTGGAATTTCTAATCCCAACTGAACTAAAGGAAAAAGGTAGATACTACTTCATGACATCGAGGTGGAACAGAGCTTTGGAGATGCAGACAAACCAGTATTACTTAAATGTGTGAATGAAATAAAAAACACAACTCCAGATATGTCTTTGAGGAGGTAAAAACTAGCTTGATTGATCAGCCGGTTTTACTTCATGGAAACCGTCTGACCTCGCAGCATTAGAATTTGTTTGCTCGACGGTAGGCGGGCACTTTTTTATTTAAACAATCGCTGCTATTTGGTCATGACATATATATTGCACCGCTAACAGGTCTAACTGGTATATTAAGCTTTTTCCAAATCCCGTAGGAAGAAGGACAATAACGTCTTTCCCCTTGAGAAAATTCACCAAACATTCTATTTGTTCTGGCTTTAAATCCTAGATCTCGGGAATCGTTGCTAACACAGACTGTATGGCTCCTTGCTGATTGGCTGGTGCCTGAACTCGCGCTTCAGGGGTTTTTGCAAATCGTCTAGTGTATTCTGATTTCTGACCTAGACACTGGAGAGAAATGAAATTGAGTGGAGGCACTAGGTGGCGCCAGCCTGGCTAGGTAAAAACATGACTAATCTCACAAGAGTCAATTTTGTATAATATAGGACCTTTAAGGACATTCCACAAATACTTCCTTTTTTTTTTTTTTTTTTCCACAGCACTGACTGGAAAAAACATCCTACAGTTATATAATGACAACAACAAGAAGGTCCCAGCTGTCTAAATATACAGTATACAGTGAATATGTGAGTGGAAATAAGGTGTATCCCCACCTAAAGCTCAAAGTTGCAGGGATAAACATCAGTCTCCCGTGACAACAAGCATGAGAGTAAACTAATTTAACTTCCAGTTATCAACTTTTTCCAATGCAAGGCCCCATTAGACTTCCAGAGCGAGACCAGAGACAGTATTGATCACCAAACACAACTATAATCTTTTACCATTTTAAAGTGACACTGGGCGCATTTATCAAGTGCAGTGAGCAGAGCAGTTCCCATTAGACTGTTGGAAGCGTTCAAGTTGAATTATGGACTGACAATAACTATCAGAGAGAGGATATTGTAATGCACAGGCAGCAGCAGTAAAAGTCCTGTCCCACGCGCCCGTAAGTTGTATTTAATGAAACCTTTGTGGGTTTGTCTTTGTGCCAGCTGAGCCTTGCCGCATTTCTCACTATCACCCAGAGGATACAGGCTGTTACACTTTGAAATGTATAGGCCCATAGAGAAATACTGGAGGGCCTGACTATACGTTTGTAGCTGTACTTAAAGACGCACGATATAACTTATCTGCTAGGGAGATGTTATTTTGTGGCTAGATGTTATACAATAAACATATTTATCTTGCATTTACTCAGTTAGGTGTTTTTATTGCTAATAAGAAATAGCTTGACAAATATACACCTCTCCACCGATCTGACTTATAACTTGGCTTGGTGGCTTGTCTCCATAAATAAGCTTAATGTCGTACTGTATGTGTGCGACACCTCTATATACTAAAAAAAAAAATAGTTACAAAACCATGCCTGCCCTTGAAACAATATAATATGTTTTTAAAAGGGAAGCTCCCACACAGTGCTATCTTATTATCTTATTAAATGATTATGCAAACACCCCACATAACATTCCAATGCATACAGTGTTTTGTTTTGTGTTTTGTTTATTCTTCAGATTGTGTGAGTTAATATGCATGATAAAATGGTAAATATAGGGCTTTACCACCTTTAAGGCACTTAATAAGCTTTATATCAAGGAACCACTCGCCCATTCACAGACACACTTACGCACCAGACACTGGGGGCAAGGAGTGTTAAGTGTCTTGTCCAAGGGGCACAACAACAGCATTCATTCATTCACTGATCGCTCGACCAATGATTTTAATACTGGAAGTCAGTTTTTTTTTTTTTTTTTTTTTTTATGTATGTTTCTTAAGGACATCACGATCACATTAGACAAGCCAGGTGCATTGCTTTGAGTGTTTTAGCACAAGTGCTGGTTTTCAACACCTGTCCATAGAAAAAATATTAAATACATGAATAAAAAGAGACAAGACACATTAGTTACATACAGATAAGATATATACAGCATTATTGCATTTTCAGTGGGTGCATTTTTGATAGGAAACATACAATAATTTCAATTTACTTTTAAATTTGTTGTATTGGTTTCCAGTTTTTCTTTTTTCAGAGAAAGAGGGCTGACCAAGAGTTGTTCTATACACTGGGACAACACAGTTACCACTAGTAGCACTTCTTGTAGTAACTCTGTGTGTACATTTTATGGTCCTGGCAAATTCTTAATTCAGTGGTGTATCAGAGTTAAGACACAAAATAATTTAAGATTATTAAAATTGGTAAAATTGTAGTTGAATACACTGCAAAAACAATAAATAGGTAAGTTAAAGTTACTTAAATTAAGAGCATTTGACATTTTTTTAAGTAGACTCAGCTTGACAAGTAAAATGATCTACCAATGGAGCAAGTGTGTTTTTCTTAATTCAAGCAACATTACATTTTGTTTCTTATTTTAATTGCAAAGAGTTGTTGTTTTTCTTATCTTAAGTGTAGCAAGATGTAATTTTATATTTTCAGTACAAAAAAGTCTTAGTCCATTGGCAGAAAATTTTACTTATCAAGTGAAATGTACTCAAATCATGATAAAAATGTCTTAATTCAAGTAATTTTAACTTTAGCTTTTGCAGAGTAGGTTATGTTTCTTTAAAATTTCACAGTGATGCCAGAGTCTGGACTTTTTGTCAAAGATCTTAAGGGAGAGGTTTCAATGTGGTTGAGGAGGCCTGTGACCATGAGGTGATACAATAATATAGATGCGAGAAGATTGAAGATTCGAGCTGCCAACCTTCAGATCAGTGGATGAACACTCTACCACTTGAGCTAATATTGCACTGCATGCCATAAAAATAGTTGTAACATAAAAGTACTACAAGCTCAAGAGTCCAGCTGAATTTTATAGAAACTGGCAACAGCACTGTGAACAATTTCCAAACAAAGCACAGTAGGGTTGTTATAGGACCCCAAAAGCCTTTAACTCAGTCCAGTCCATCTGCCCCTCTCTGCCCCGTGCACCTCGGTTTGGACTCTGCAGGCTCATGTTCACACTTGGCTTTAAACTAAAGACTGCTCCACGTCGCCCCCTGGATCACAGCACAACATTTACCTCTCATTAATTATTGCTGTGCTGCTTTGTGCATTTCAGTTACAGAGAGGCTTAAGCTTTACATGAACGGCCCTGTAGGAGAAAATATTGCGTATTTCCACACACATAATGAAGGTTTGTGAGTGTGCTGTTATATTCTTGTAAAGTAAATTGTTTAACATGACATGAATACAAATGCAATGATCTTTGAATCATTTTTATTAAATCATTTTTCCTGGTAAAATTCTTTGTTTGGAAGTAGATGTATTGCTCCAGTCTTTGCCAAAACATTTGATTTAAAGGTGTGTGGCGTAACATTTCTAAGGGAGAGTCTGCCACCTCCTTATTTCTGAGAATGTTTGCTTTGTCTAGACCAGGGGTGTCGAACTCAAATTCACAGAGGGCCAAAATTAAAAACTGAGACCAAGTCATGGGCCGAAACTAAATATTTATTTAAAAAATTTAAACAACATCTGCATATTTTCTCTTCTTTCAAGATATAATGTTAAACTTTTTCTTCTTAAAATAAATGTTTAACAATAGTTTTGCTTAAACACTGAATTCAGAACAAAAATAAAATAAATATCAACATTTTAAATAAATAAAATCTCTATAGCCTATCTGTAACTAGTGGGGCAGCTCTAATACATATTTGGTATGATCTCGTAGGCCAAATATAATTATATCGCGGGATAAATTTGGCCCCTGGGCCTGAGTTGTCTGAGATGTCAAGTCTAGAATGTTCCACAGTATAGATTAAACCTATCTATCATGAGGGAGACAAGTATTTTTTTTTTTTTAATCATTATTATATTATCTGTGGAGAGTTGCCCCTATTCACAGAAAACATTATTGTATTTTTGATCAATCGAAACACCCATAATGAATAAATACGAGATGGATATGTTAAAAGTCTAAGAGAAAAGTTGAGCAGTGCACCTTTAACTTCAGTTGTTACTATCTGGGATCTTTCAAAATAAATAAATGATCGCAAACAAACAAAAAGCACCTGCCAATAAGTACGTTGTTACTATAGGCCAACAAACATCTAAATACTTGCTTTATACAGAAAGAACTACTCAGGACAATCTCTCTCATCTTCATCTATACATTTGTTGAAATAGCCAGAGGACAGGATGCAAAA